CTTGCAGTTTGTCAAATGTATAATCAGTCCATTTTTTTTTTTAATTCAAAAAAGTTTGAATACACCACAGTTTTCATGGGTCAAGATACAAAAGTGATTTAGACTAGATGGGCTCTTGCACGCCTGTCCTTCGAGCTCCTCGTTTCCTTTCTGGAGGCAGACACTGTCAGCATTTTCCTGTATACTTTAGAGAAAGATTCTGTGCCTAAAATGCACATGTGCATGGGGTTTTTTACAAACTGATAAACTGTACAGAGAGTTTGTTCCTTGCTGTTTTCTTTTTTTATATCTGGGGTCATTCCATGTCAGTATTTAAGGAACAGGAACCTCTTCCCCTTTTTAGCTGTATAAGTGGATTTTGGCTGCTTCTATTAAATGGTTATACCATAAATTATTTAATCCACTAATGATTATTTAGGTTGTTTCCTATCTTTCGTAATTACAGGATAGTAACAAACTTGAACCTGCTGTTAATACATTTCTATGCAGGGTGTAACTATAACCTAAACTCCTAAGAGTGTAATTTGCATGACAGATAAAGTCCCCTTTCATTGGGTGTTTAGTTTTAGAGGCTTGTTGGACAACTTTACTGATAACATCATTTCTGAAGACATTTTTTTTCAGTATCAGTAAACTGGAGAATGATTTAGAGAAACAGCTTTGTTAGAAAAATCACCTTTTTAGACAGTGATAACACTGATGGCCTATGTAGTAATGAGAGAAAGTGATTCTGCTTCTATTTAAAAACATGGACCCTTCATATGGGAAGATGAGTTTTAATCCCTGTCAGGTTGTCTTGGTGTGCGAGAAGGATTAGTATCAAATTACCGGTATGATCATGGGCAAGGGACTTATTTTTTCTGAAACTGTTGTCTAAGATGTGGATGCAATACCTACCTCTAGGCTTCCGTGAGGAACAGTTGAGAGGCTGTAAGTGATGTGTTGCACAGTGCTTTGCAAATTGCCAATAAATTCCAATTATTGGTCCAAACATGCTGCTTTTGGTCAGAATACTTTTTTCTGCAGTCGCTTTTGGAACCAGTTCATAAACCTTGCAAAATTTATCATTGTTATGTGGTCACTCTCTTGGTTGTTATGAAAACCTACAGTATTCCTCTTGTTCATACCACCTGTTTCACAAGATTTGATTTACTGAATTGTTAGATTGAACTGCAGCCTGGAAGGATAAAGGTGTACCATCCTTGAGGGTATTTAAAATGCTACAAGGTTAAACTGTTTTCAAGGAGGAATTTCTTGTCACCAGACATGTGACCTTTGTTATTTGGTGGTCTCCCAGCGTGGCTGCTTTGGTGAAGGCCACTTAGATCTTAGGTCTCTATATTACACCATGTGAACAAAATTCATTTGGATTTAGGGTTTCCCCAGGAGTGATGTAACCTCGCTGATGGACCATTATTACTGTGGGGGCCATATAGCAAATAGATCTGTGTTCACCTTCCCAGGTAAACTGCTGTGCAGTGAATCCCTGCTGTCTCGTGGTCACTCCAGATACTCTTAGTTAGATCCTTGTAGCAGTGAAAAGGGGCATAGAATTCTTGGGCAAGATAATCTGTACAGATCTTTTGGCAGAACTCAGGACCATCAGAGCTTTTAGGGTATATGTGGAAATTCACAATGTGGCCAGGAGTTTTGGTGATTGTAATCAAGGCACTGAAAGTTACGTCCTGTGGTGTTTTGTAGGGACCTTTGCCTCACAAATCAGTGGAGAAATGGAAAGAACTACAAGTATGTCTGTTTTTTTTCCTTAAAAATGTTTGGAAACCATTGATGTGATTCAAGAAAATTTCCACACCTAACCATAAAAGGAGGGTTGCTCAAAATTACTGAATTACGCACATGTGCAAAAAAAAAAAAAAAAAAAAGACTTCAGGACTGACGTTGGGAACTTAATAAATGCATTAACCTTGAAAAGCTTATCCTTAAACTAACCACCTCTCACAAAAAAACCAGAAGAAACCAAAACAACCTTATTTAAAATTGTCAAGAGACTATTTTATAGAAGTTGAAGTTACCTATTGACATCTTTAGACTTCTGATTTGGTGTTCTATGCCATCACATAGGTGTCTTTTTGATTTAACAGAACAATTTACAGTTGACCCTTGAACAACATGGGTTGGAACCGTGGGAGTCCACTTAAATACAGATTTTCTTACAAACAGATGATGTAAAATTATGGTATTGTAAATGTACTGTAAATGTATTCCCTTACGATTTTCTTTAGCTTCAAGAACATATTATATAGGGTCTCCCTGGTGGCGCAGGCAGTTGAGCACCACACTGTGAAGCTGTCCGCAGCCTCTGCAGTGCCGGTTCGATCCCCGCTGGCCTCAGGGCAACCCACATGGCGAGCAGACCTCTCGTCTCACCCGCAGCTCCCCTCAGCAGTGTATTTCATCAGTCTGCTTGTTCTGTTTCCCGCTCTGTCACTGGTGAATCCTCTCACCCTCCCATGCAGCTGGCCTATACCCTGGTTCTTGTATAAATAAATAAATCTTAAAAAAAAAAAAAGTATAGTATGTAATACATATACCAAACAAAATACCTGTTAATCAACAGTTTGTGTAATTGGCCAGACTTCTGGTCAACAGCAGGCTATCAGTAGTTAAATTTGGGGGGAGTTAAAAGTGGGTTTTTGACTGTGGAGTCAAAACCTCCAACCTCCACATTGTTCCAAGATCAACTGTAAATTCCTTTTTTTCCCTAACTCATTTACTCACTTTCCATTTGTGTGACTAGATGAAAGTTAAAAGACACACTGCTTCTGGTTCTCTCTGCCTCTGGGTCCATAGAGCGAATGTATGTGTGAGATGTTTCTATTTCTACTGAACTGTTCACTCCCTAGACACTGTCTATGCTGATGTTTGTTTTTCTGCCGTGGTCTCCTACATTTTTAATGCTCTTTCTGATGCTTCTCCTGAAGGAACACCATATACTTTACTGGAGCATATGAAGCTTTTCTTAATTTCTCATATTGCATATTGCATTTCCATTTCTTACATAGATGAATGGTTCTTTTTTCCATACTGACTATAAGGGCCTTGTGGCAAGGAAGGAGGGGGAGGTGGTGAAGGGAAAATATTTTGAGAGCTTGCCTGCTCTTAAATAGGGAGTTTGTGACACTTAGCTTTTCAGAGGTTCAGTTATACCTTCCCTAAATCAGAATGCAACATGCTTAGTGATTTTCTGAAGACCTACTCAGTGCCGTGTTTTCTACGGCTCTAGAAAGAAACAAGCAGAACAGAGATTCAGTTGAAAGTGGCATGGAGTGGGACATTGCAAAACTTGAGTCCTGGGCCTGCTTGCATCATTGCCTCTGGGGTAAGAAGTGTGACTGCGTCACTCTACGTGTACAGTTGTACAGGATGGAGATCAGAAATGGTGCCTTGTGAGCTATGCAAGTCAGTTGGACTCAGCATTTCTTCAGTGACAGCAACTCCGGGGTGAGCTAGTTGTGCGGAGCAGTGCCTCCATGCTTCGGGCATCCTGCCATACCCGGAGTGATTCTGGTCTTTAAGACAGACTTTTTCTAATGTGGTCCCCAAGAATAAAGCCAGATACTCTATTTGGTTCAAATGAAGATTAGGAGTCTTTGTGTCATGGAAATGCTCCTAGGGAAGATTGCATACCCTGTGCTTGATGTAAAGGATTTTCAGAGGTTACTTTGAGTAAATTTGATATACACAGTTGTCCCTTGGTATCCCCAGGGGATTAGTTTCAGGAAACTGCCCCCCCCCCCACACCCCGTAGATCCCAAAATTCACAGATGCTCAAATCCTTTACATAAAATGGTGTCATGTTTGCATATATCACCTGCCACATCCTCCCATATACTTTATGTGACCTCTGGCTGACTTATGAGACCTAATGAAATGTAAATGCTATATAAATAGTCACTATACTGTATTATTAGAGAATAATGACAAAAAAGCCCATTATGTTCAGTACAGACAAACCTAGGCCTAACTGCATAGTACGTATTTTCAGTCCACCTGTGGTTGAAGAAAGGAAGCGGAATCTGCAGATATGGATGGTGGACTGTAATTGATTTGTGAATGAGACAACTACACCAAATACACGTCTTTGTTTCTGTTTCATCATCTGTGAGATGATGATCATTTACAGCGTTCCCATCCATACAGTCTTGTGTTATTAGAAGATAAAAATCAGATTAAGTTTGCAACACACATGAGGCGACAAAGACTATTAGTTATTGTTCAATAGGGTGAATTTTCGATGACAAGGAGTTGTTAGTCAGAGCTGACACTACGTAGCATTGCCATAAGCCACTTGTTTGGCCCGAATCTCTGGTTTCGGGAAAGAACAATGTGGTCCTTCAGAAGTCAGTAGACCAAATGCTCAAATGCTCTTTTTACTTGGCTCACTGGTGTGTTGTCTCCTAGGAGCGCCTGGCAGCAACTGCAGTGGGCAGTTGATTGCTTTCCCTTTGGGAGTGAGTCAGGTTCTCAAATAGCTGAAGAAGGGTCAATAATCTTAAATCCACTTCATTCAAAGTCAACTTTTCTTTCTCTTTTTACTTACTTCTACTCCGAGTCATCTGTGCCTTTGTCTTTTGTCTGGCTTAGAGGCTTTGTGCCTATGTTCTGTCAGATCAGGCCTCCGAAAACTTGCCTGCCTTGACACTAGGAGTAACACCTGGACTCTGAACCATTTGAAGCAAAGTACCTGCAGCTGCATGAGAAAACCAGCTGGGTGTGTCTAATCCTGGTATTTCACTGCGGCTCCTTAGGTGTTTACTTCTATAGTGGCCAGATAATGTGGTTGAAACTAATTGTCAGGGCAGAGTTTAATCTTCTGGTTAACCTGGTCAGGCATGCGCTGTGATGGGAGCATGCGCGTTTTGACCGTCAGAAAAGAGACTTCACAACTCTCAGGTACTGAGAAAACTAAGAGTGATTTTATTGATAAATTATTGTGGGAAAACTGTACATGCTATCAATAGTAACTTAGAATCAACTAAAAGAGTGTAATAGCCCTGGGGTACTCCTTTCCCTGTGAGATGTACTTAGTGAGTAACTGATAGGGAAAGCCAGAAATGTGGGATACTGGCACACAGGCGGGTCTGGAGCTCTGTCCAGACACACAGCCAGGGCAAAGGTGGCGTGGGCCTTAGGAGGAAGGAGACCTTGATTTCCAAAGTGATTTTCTGAAAACATTTATTGGGCGGTTACAGATTACTGTGTATTTGCTGGGGTCTTCAAGACACAGAAGACATCTCCCCACCTCCCACTGACTTGTAGAAGGTGACTGATATGTTTGGACCTTCTGTACTTTATCTTCTCAGAAATGAACTACCCATTACATCTAGAAGAAAGCCAGTCGAGTATCATGACTAGCGCTGGAGTCTAATTATAGTGTTGGGGTCCTTAATATGACAGGTAAGAAAGTTTTTTCTCCCTCCCAACACTTAACCAATATAGTGGTCTTGATAGCGATGAATGAAGAGAGAGATACGAATCTCAATGTGTCTTCTTTCTCTACTTCCTTTTCCTTTAACAAAGAGAACAGCACCAGACCCTTTCCAAAGGGGAACACTGTTTCTTTACAGGAACTTGGTGTCAAGGTAAAGAGAAGTCACAGAAGGGAAATGCTTAAAAAGGAATCAGAGCAGTGATAAAAAGTACCGATTGCCACAAAGAGGACACACTGAGAATCGCCTTTTGTGGAGAGAACTTAAGATAGAAGACATAAGAGAAAGCAGCTAATGTTAGGTCTCAAATTCTGGGTGAGATTTTTCTCCCAAAAGGGGAGATGTCACTGTTTTACTATCTGTGCATAGGTAGGATCATTTGGATTTCTGCTCCTCCTAAGAAAGGACTATGATATTCAGAATAACATCACACCTACTGGGGCTAGTCAATTTGTGAGGCTAGCCAGCTTCTGAGGGGCAACTAAGGTTTCTCTTTCTGCCTTCAGAAAGAATTGACTGGGGAGACTAAAGGAAGTGAGAAAGATTTTAGGTTTTCTTGAGCTAAAGAAAGGCAAAGGAAAGAGGGCAGAGAAGACACATCTAAAGGTGATTTTGGTCGCTGGAGGCTTCTGTGCTTCACTTGAAGTGGTAGGTGGCAGAATGTTCTGGTGGGGCTTATGTGCTTCTGGTGAGTCCAGTTCCGCTGGGCGCTGGCAGTTCCTTTGGCCGGTTGCCCGTTTGTGTTAGGCTCGATCAGTGATGTTACTGACCTTGGCCCAGGCCGGAAAAGTGTCCAGGTGGAAGAGGCTCACTCCCCATGTATTGATGGCCACCATCACTATTACCAGGCCAATGACATTGACCCCCAAGCCAGCTTTCACCTGTGGGACAAACCAGCACACCCTAGTCACCCTGAGTAAGCAGCAGCCTGGATCCCAAAGTGCTCCCCAACTACTCCCCCCTCACCTTCCCCCATCTAAGTTTCACCCCTGACGGGCTCATGCCCACCTGCCTGTGCCCATTTGTTCCTGTCATTGCCTGGCATTCTCTAGTGTCTCCTTGTAGGGTGACATCAAACTGAAGGACGGGAAAGGCAGGGAGGGCTTGGGAATGCGATTAGAGTCATCTGCTCTTGTAGCGGTCCAGGCCTATAAGATGTGTACTTGGAACATCGGGTCTTGGGATGGTAGAAGAGTTATGCTAAAATAGGTGTCGATGGCTGCATGATAAGGGAATGTGTTAAACTAGCCAGATCTCTCTAAAGGAAGAAAGTCTCAGAAACTTTAATGTGCTCACAAATACGGGGAAGATGTGTGTGTGTGTCTGGAATGCTGTGTTCTGTGAAGCTTTTGACACTGTTACCTGGTTTTTCAAGGAACAGTTACGGAAGTGTGGGCCTTGGGTTCACCTGGGGGAACAGGTCGACTGCCTCTGCTCAGCCCCTCAGAAAAGTGATACAAGCATGCTAGCTTTGCTGTTTTCTTCTGAGGGAATGTCACCTCTTCCATTTCTGCCATAGCATTGACACACGCAGGCTGAGGGGGATGTATGAGGGAGGACGGGATGCAGAGCTAGGGCCAGGTGGAAAATGTACGTGAGGGTGGGTGCATCCCACCAGTGAGTCAGCAAAGCGCACTGGCCGGATGCAGTGGTTAGGGAGAAGCGAACACTAGGCAGTCGTTCCAAACCAATGACTAGACACGACCCCTCTCTGCTTTCTGGCCAAATCCTGGGCTTATTAATCATCCCGGTCTCCTTGGGCTTTGGGTGTGGAGAACCACCCTTGTATGTGTGGAGGAAACAGGTTCTACAGGAGCCGAATTTGGAGACGAGCCGGACCACATAGAACATCTGGTGTGAACCTCCCCACTTAGCAGGAGAGGACACCGCAGTCTCAAGTCAGTGCCCCCGCCGGGGTAGGACCCAGGGCCAGCTCACTTGTCACGCGATGCCTCTAGAAGACTAGGAGGGAATATTGGAGACTTCCTGCACAGGAAGCGGGGGGACAGGAGATGGAGGTAAAGCTCAGTATAAGCAAACAGTACGATACCAAGGGGGAGTGGGGTGACTGACTCCCCTTCCCTGAAGTACTGCAGTGACTTGGACAAGCATTTGAACGGTAGAAAGGATCTGAATGTCCACTACCAGCCTGAGGCTCTTTCTTCCTTTCTCTACTGGCGACTTAGAGGGCTGCGGAGGGTGAGTTTGGGCTCTTGTGAAAAAAATTTTCGACCCTCAGCAAAGTGAATGGAGCCGATTTTACCCAGGCTGCAGCAATTTGTGTTGTGATTTTTCATCCTTCTCTCAGCCCCCAATCAGTCCTGAAGATTAAAAAGCAGAGCTAAGAGTGTAAGGTGAGGAGCCGAGGGTGGGTATACCCAGCACCACAACCAGTAAAACATCTCTTCAAAGTGATCTTTTATGAGCCCCGCTGAAAAGAAAGAAATGGACTCGGGCGGAAGCCATGGCTGCGTCTGGGACTCCCGGCCAAGGGGTAGTTCAGGAGGATTTTGTGAGTCTTGTCCTTACAAAATCATTCAGCCTAGGTTTCTACAATTTCTATACTTCACCTTCTGTGAATAAACCAGTAGCTTTTTGAATGCGTATCCCCACCGGTCCAATGAAGAAACTGAGGCAGCGACGTGCAAGCCGGGCCACGTGTGTGTCTGTGGGAGCCGTGTCTGTGCATGTACCGCCTTCCTCCCAGAGAGGTTTGGAAGGTTGAGCGTTGAGAGGGTCATGTAATTGCTATTTTCGGTGCTTATGGACCAACCCCAACCATTTTCACCAGTACCATTCTTTCTGCCACAGCAGACTGGGTGCTGCAGGCCAGGGGCACCATCCAAAAGAGTAAAATTCAGAAGGCTGTGGAGCCGGTCCTCCCTGTCCTGGTGGCTGGCCCGGCAGGAGGCGGGCGCCTACAACTCACCATGTCTTTGATCTGGCAGTGCCCGTAGCTGAAGACGATGGCGTTGGGGGGGTTGCCCACAGGCAGCATCACTGCAAAGGAGATGCACATGGTGACTGGGATCAGGGTGTAGAGTGGATTAATGTGCAGCGTTTCAGACTAGGAGAAGAGAGAATTCACAGAAACATTAGCGTTGACACTGGACTTGCATTCCCTGTGCTTTACCTCATAAACATGCTGAGGGATGGCGTGGTATTGGCTAACCTCGGCTGGACACCTGAGCTGGGGAGTGAAATCACTGCCCTTCGGGACATCCAGTGCTTCCAGGTCAGATAGATGGAGCCTCACAGCTCACTCACTCCCCATGGACACGTGGGCTTTTGAGTTACTTCCTAGAAGGGGTTTCTTACTTGTTGGTACTAATCTAAGGAAGTGATGTTAAGATTTTTTTCATTAGCTGAGAAATTCTTTCTTCAAACACTAATCTCACGAATAAGCTGCTTTCATTGAAGTGTAAGGAATCCCTCATCCGTGGGATCCAGCACTGAAGTGTTGCTTGATGTAGTGAACTTGAACCCGCCATGGTCTTGCTCCCAGTGTTGTCAAGGTGTAACTCCGCGAGCTCCCACACTCACACCAGCTGGTGGCAGGGAGAAGTTGGGGGAGGAGCAGTGAACAAAGAGAGTGATATGGGGGAGCAGGGGGTTCATTTTGTTGGGACTGGGGAGACGCTTCCCTTACCCAGGTTCCTGTTCACATTCTGAGTCCCGGGCAGTGGTGTGCCTGGCGTGTTACCTTCACGGCTGCTTAGCCAGGCCAAGACCCTGCTGCTGCTCCCCGCCTAGTCCACTCATACTCTGAGGAGGGAGATCGAGGCTGGCCTTGCTCTCAGTTCTTAGAACCTCCTAGACAGTGGAATGGTGTGGAGGTGGTAATGACAGCAGTGGGCGTGAGCTTTGCATCCAAGTGTACTTTGGGCAGCATTGTGCCTCCATTTTCTGTAGTTATTTCTCCAGCTCTGTTGTTGGGTTTTATGTCAGGAGAGAAAGGTAGATTGTAGGGACTGGATGATTGTAGGGAACTGGATGATTGTAGGGAACTGATGATTCTAGGGAACTGGAACCCTAGGGCTGCAAGTTACTCTATCCTTATTTCTATTCAGGCTGCCCCTACCCTGACCTAGTGTTTTGGAAAAGGGTTTCTAGAACCCTTGCTGTCGTTTGTAATATAGCTATTTACTTATCAACTTAATTTTTCAAACTCTGGTTTGAATACCCATCAGTGACGACTGTGGCAATGTCCAGGAGAACACGCAGCCATAGTGCTGCTCCCCTGGGGCATCCACCTGGACCCCTGGGACTCCGCTGAACTCACCAGGCTGCACAGGATGGGCAGGAAGATGGTGATGGTGGCTGGGTTGCTCACAAACTCTGTGACAATGGACACCAGGATGCATGCCAGCAGGGTGACCGCCCACGGCGGGAGGCTGCTCAGGGACAACATCTGGTGCCCAATCCATGTGGAGAGGCCAGAGCTCTGCAGGCAGAGAAGGTGGCACAGTAAGAAGAAAGGTGGAAACGGACATTCTCTTAGACTCCAGGAGGTCAAGATTGTGGCGGGACTGGGAGACTGGACCCAGCAGCATTCTTGACTTCTATGAGTAAATCATTTTTGTAGCCCAGAACATTCTTTTTTTGTGGTTGCATGACATTCAGTCTTAGGGTTTCTTGGCCACCATCACGCATGGAGAGCCATGCACCTGAAATGCTGTCACCCTTCGAAGACTTTGCCTGGATGGCTGGCAGGGGTTGGAGAACTTTGGGAAGAGCCGCCCCTCAACTTCCGTCTCATAACTCTTTCCCCAGCTTCTAATGCTTTCGTTCTGTGCATCGGATCAAGAATTCTCTTTCCATAGATTGCCAAGAGTAATTAAGGATAATTCTGCTTTGGAAATCAATTTCAGTTTATCACTTGTGAATAGTAGAGGGTAACCTAACTAATGACTTCTTGGCAACTATTTGTTTTCTAGAACTATTTATAATTTGAAATAAACTTATGAATTAGCCTGCAAACTTAGAAAAAACAACAAAGGTAAATTTTTAAATTCTCAACATGAAAACCTTTTACACTGGCTTTTCCTCATTAAAGCCAAGCACTCTGAAATTTTATGAAACTCAGTAGGAATCACATATATTGTTCCTGAATTACTAAAGTTGGTAGAGTCACTAGGTTTTATAGAAAAAACAACTATACTATCTGTAGTTCCCTTCCAGAGCTGTAATGGTTTGACAGTAATTTTGGTTAAAATAAAAAGGATACTATAGGCCAGAAGAAACAACTGAAAATCAGTAAAGGCAAATATGATATCCTGAACTCGGAATTAGAAATACTGACAGTGTATATGCCGGATTGAGTGAACTTAATAATGGTTAATAATAGTTAATAAATGAGAGGTTTATTTGACTGCAATTTCACTATAAATGTTGACATGTGTGCCAGTGAAGCCTTGTAAAACTTTCCATAAAAATACTTCTGGTGCTTGGCTCATAGATGAGAGAAGGCATTTGATTACTATGACTACTCTGTAGTAGACATTCCACCTCTGGGCCACGTGTGCATAAGACCAAGGGCAAACTAATGAGTTCTGAGGAGCTAGACCAGCATGGTGAGGGGGCGCTATTTCTTTTCTTTTTTTTAATAATGAACTGCAACTACATTGCATTCTTTTTTTTTTTTTTTTTAAGATTTATTTATTTATGCAAGCACTGGGTACAGTCAGAAGCGCGGGAGGGTGAGAGGATTCACCAGAGCCACAGCGGGGAGCAGAGCAGGCAGAAGTACACTGCTGAGGGGAGCAGCGGGCGGCAGGAGAGGTCTGCGTGCCATGTGGGACCCTCCTCCAGAGGCAGGGGAGCAGCCAGGGATCAAACCGGCGCTGCAGAGGCTGCGGGCAGCTTTGCAACCCAGCGCTCAACCACTGTGCCACCACTAGGGAGTTTCAGTTAAAAAAATTGATCTAGAAGGATCTATTTTTATTATTTTTAAAAGATTTATTTTTATTTATTTATGCATACAAGAACTGATGTATAGACCAGACTTGGAGTGGGGGTGAGGGAATTCACCAGAGACAGAGTGGGGAGCAGAACAGGCAGATCTGCTGAAATACACTGCTGAGGGGAGCAGCGGTCTGCTGCGCCATGGGTCAGCTTCCTGGCTGGGGATCAAATTCGTATTGCAGTGGATGCTGATAGCTTGATCGCATGAGACTTTAACCCCTGCACTACCAGGGAGGCCTGGGTCTATTTTAATAATTATTACCTAGGTGAGGGTTCCAGAGAGCAGGGCCAGAACCGACATCGGAAGACATCCAGAAGGCCTGAGCTAAAGGCAAAGGAACTGTTCTTTGTTTTTATGTTCCCTGTGGAGGGAAATCTCACTGGGCAGGAGATGGGATTCTGTGTCCTTCCTAGTGTAGGATTCTGTGAGCTTCACGTCAGTGACGCAGGTAGCACTGGCCAACACCCCTGAGTGGCCAAAGGTGAGCCATGTTTAGAATGGGTTAATGCACTGAGGGAGGGAGAAACTGTGACTCTTGATCTGGTTCGCTGTTAGGGTGGTTTTCTATTTTGGAAAGGGTTGACTAGAAAATTCACCTACTTCCCACCAGCCCTCTTTAAGCATGCTCATCGCAATCCTCCCAATCAGGGAATGGGGGAGCATTTCATTTGCTTGTGGTTGTGCAGGTCTGTGAATGAGGTGCGAGCGCCCTGCGCCGTGACGGTGGCGCGGCTCACCTGCCTCTCTGATCCCAGTGGCGCTAACTTAGAGGCCAGAGTGGGGCAGGATTCCCATCCTGGCTTCCTTGTGACTTGGGTGAACATTTCCCTCTGCCAGTGCCTCTCAGTCTTCCCTCCCAGGGCTGGAATGACTTGGTAGGCAGGGTGACTGGAAAAAAGCCCGGTAAGAAGAGTCCAAGGGTTACCTTGCTGCCAGAAGCCAGAGCATAGCCTCCTCCCACCAGAATGACAATCTCCCAGGGCATGGTCTTCTGGAAGTCCTTCCACGTGATGATGGGCTCCATCCCCAGTGAGGGCTCCTGGTTCTCCCCTGCGGTGCCGGCAGACAGTGAGCTTGAGCAGCAGAATCCTAACAGGCGGATCCATGGGGCCAGGGGCCCATCATGCTCCGGGTGAGTTGGGAGACAGCTCTGCTATTTTGCGGGGAGTCAGAAGAGCTCCTTCCAAAAATAATGACTTGAGGATTGACCAGAGCCAGCCCCAGCCTCCCACCTTGACCTCTCACCATCTTTCTTTTTCCCAAAGCAAGGCTTCTTGGCTGGAATCAGGAAGAGGAGGAAGCCAAGGAAGACAGAGACCGTGGCGTCCGTGCGGTAGCCTTTCCTAGCAAAGAGACAAGCAGGGCTGGAGGTGGAGGTCTGGGGGTCCGGGGGGCAGCACAAAGTCAGGGGGAGTCTGTCAGAAGACGCTGCCTCTTTCCAGGACCTAGTTCAGACAGGCTGTCAACCTGACTCCTGGCAGTAGCCGCCATGCTCTCCCCTGGAAGAATTCTGGGCAGCGCATGATGTCAGAAGGCAGGGCCTGGCTGGGGTAGAGGTCTCAGAGTAACGCACAGGCCCATCGGAAGGAATGGTCAGGAATTATTTAGAGAAAAGAGACTCGAAAAGGATGAGTCGACCTTCCTCGAGAACACCTCCAAGTGTGTCATCCTCAAATGGGGAGCCCTTGGGAATGTACTGAGTGGGACAGGAGCCTTCCCTGCCACAGGCCTTGGCCACTCCGTGGCCACGGTCTCTTCATGATTGGCATTTTATTTTATAGCCATTTTCTCCCTTAACTCCCATGACAAGCTGTGAAATAACAGGTTCTAAGAGCTTTGGTAACGAGACCAAGGTGGAGACAAATCTGGCAGGTGGCAGCACCAGCCCCAGCCCCCTACCGGGACTCCGAAGACTGTCTTCTTCCCGACACCACACTGCAGCTTCCCTCCAAGGGGGGCCTTCCCAGGAACGAAGTATTTCTGGGGTTCTTAAGAGTCTAGGAGGGGACACCCGGGCAACTGTCTGAAGAGTGTGGGTGACAGGGTTGTTGAGGAGGACTCCGATCACTCACTTTTCAAAGAAAGAATCCCAGCCAGGAACAAAGCCAGGCTCCCGGGTAAACCACAGCACGGTCATCAGGATGAAGAAGAATCCAGTGACCATCTCAGGGTAACTGAAAGAAAACAGACCGGCCTCCGGGCATTACTTTTCCACTTTGCTCCGGGAGGCTCCTGTGTTCAGGGCTCTGATACCAGGGCCATGAAACTCGGCGACGGCTTAGCCCCTGTGAAGGGCAGGTGGTGAGGTGGGAGGAGGGCAGAGATGATGCCAGAAAGTGTGACGTCACCCATGTTTACTGGAGACGCTTGGAGGAGGAGGGAAAGAGAACACCGCCTGCAAGGAGAAGGCGGCAAAACGGGCACCACAAACCCTGCTGTGGGTACGCGGGTGGGGCCGCCTTTCTGAGGCAGTTTTCAAATATCAGGATCATTCTTCTCAGCTAAGAAAATAACCAGAAATGCACATGGAACCTTTGCCTATTAAACAGTTGGGCACGACGAAATGGAAACGACTTACATGTCATTGACAGTCCATGACATTGAGTGCGTTTCCATGTAACTGTGGCTTCACATGAGACACAGCTAATAGTGATGCTTCCCCAGCAGAGGGAATGACCCGGGACCTACGGACAGTCTAATGCTAAGTGGACAGAGGCAGGATACATAGTGTACGGTGTGGACTGAATTCTATAAAACCACACATAAGTTTAACCTCAAAAAACATGGAAGAGCACATCATGTTATTAGTTATTAACAGTTAGTACTGGGATGCTAGGAATAGAAGCCAATTTTAATTTTTTCTTTATACTTTCCTCTGTTTTCTTTTTTTAGATTTATTTATTTATTTATACAAGCACTGGGTACAGTCAGAGGCGTGGACGGTGAGAGAATTCACCAGAGCCAGAGCAGAGAGCAGAACAGGCAGACTGACAGAGTACACTGCTGAGGGGAGCAGCGGGCGGCAGGAGAGGTCTGCGCGCTATGTGGGACCCTCGCCGGCGGCCGGGGATCGAACCGGTGCTGCAGAGACTGTGGGCAGCTTCGCAGCCCAGCGCTCAACCGCTGCGCCACCAGGAAGGCCCTACTTTCCTCTGTTTTCTAAGTGTTCTACAATGAATATGTATTCCTGTATAAACCAAAGTTTTAAAAAACAGTTTGGCCCTGACCCCTTTCACGCAGCCAGAACTGCACGTGCCAGTTATAGGAGAAATGATTTTTTTTAAAAAGATTTATCCATTTATGCATACAAGAGCTGGGGCACAGGCCAGAGATGCAGGGGGGGTGAGTGAGAGGATTCACCAGAGACAGAGTGGGGAACAGAACAGGCAGACTGACTGAAGTAGAGTGCTGAGGGGAGCAGCTGGCGAGACAGGAGAGGTCTGCTGCGCCATGTGGGTTGCTCCCTGGCCGGCCAGGGATCGAACTCGCACTACAGAGGCTGTGGATTGCCTCCTAGTATGGTGCTTAACCCCCTGCTCCACCAGGGAGGCCTGGAGAAATGCTGTTAACAATGCGGGCTCTCTGTGGGGAAGCTACCGAGTATTGGGAGGGTTTCTCAGACTGGAGGCTTTGATCTGTTTGTTCCTGCCTGACAGTCCCCACAATGCCGCCAGCTCCCACCCAGGGCCCACTGGAGCTGTTGTGGCCCCTTTAGCAATGTGGGCTGCTGACTTTAGAGGGAATTCAGCCCTTCTCAAGAGGGCAGCTGTACTGTCTCCCGAGTTCTTTCTCCGGCTGCCCACCTACCAGCTCCACCCCGGGCCATGGCTGTGTCTTGCACTTTGAATGTAGCAAAGATTCCACCTGGAATCTGGGCCAGCCGGGCTCTGGCGCCTAGGCTCCAGCGAGGCTGGCTCTGCCCGCTTGACTTGCCGCGTTCTCTGGAGCAGAGAAGAGCATGAATGGCTGATTCATACCTAATGTCTCCCAGCTTCTCATATTCCTCTTGGATCCTCTTCTCTGAGACTTCTTCCCTTTTGGTCTTCTTCTTCTTGCTCAGAGAGCAGGTCTCTCTAAAGCTGAGAAGGGAGAATGGGTAGAAGAATAAAGAAAACAGACTTGTGAGGCCCAAAGAAGAACAAATATTCAGCAAGTATCAAACAGCTGACTTGCTGTGGTCACTTTGCTCCTCTCCACCCACATGCTCTGTCCCTCTGACCCCACCGACTGTGTAACTTTCACCTGCCACTACAGAGCCCTTCACCAGCCTTCATTCCCCACGCCTGCCCGGAAATCCCTCTGGGCATATCTGTGGTGTACTGGTGTGAAGTGCAAGTGGTCTTGTGCAAGTGCTGGTGGGGGGGTTGTTTCTACACACTTGCCTTTCACGTAAGTGAGTCTCAAAGTGATGTATACGTGTTCAGAGGCTGATATGTTTGTGTGTTGCACACACTCAGGTGTTTGTGGGTTCAACTGTCTAGACATAGGACTCATGCAGGGTAGAAGTGGGTGTTGTGTTTCTCTTGGCAACTGGATAGAAGTATACAGCTAACACTGATTTGACTACTGCTTCTGAGTTAAAAAAAAAAAAAAGCTCATAGAACATTCTCTGACCAGTGGGAGAATTAGGCTCTACTGACTAGTAGCAAAACATCATATGTATCTTCCTTGTGTGCATAAAACTGATCAAATTTGGGTAGACTGATGGTTATGAAGAAAAGGCATACTAAGTGGATTAATATTAGAAATAAGATGGCAGGGGAATGTCTGCCTCGTGGCCTTGAGGGACATGTGCATGTGCTGGACACCCACTAAGTCAAATCACTCATGTCTGTAAAATGAAGCGTAAGGCAACTTCTGCTTAGAGTTCAAATCACTCTGTTCTGAGAGCCAGGAAAGTACAGTGAACACTCCCCAGTGCAGGCTTTTCACATCCAACAGTTCCTCCAGCCAGGTACTGGGATGAGGACCGTTTCTTTGCAGAACTTATGAAAAGCAGAGCTCACGTGTGTAAGAGGGGCCTACAACAGGCGAGCCTGGCTGCACTGCCTTCTCCGGGATGTCTCGCAGGAGGCAGCTGCCCTGAGGCCTGGCCCTGGCCCTGGAGGACAGGAGAGCCTCGGGTCTGGCTGGCAGGGCCCCAGGACTCACTTGCAGCCCAGGAACAGCCAGTGCATCCAGAACCAGCTGACCACCAGCATGATGAGGGAGATGGGGAAGCTGAAGAGGAACCAGGTGCCAAAGTTGACCACCTCTGCGGCTGGATACTGGCTGGAGAGGAGAGAACCAGGTCAATGATCCGAAAAGGGTGGATTTCTCTGTGGAGTTTCAGGGGCACTGAGCTAAATGCTCCTTAAGCAGACACCCGGCAGGGCAGAGAGAGGGTGCTAACAAGCAAAACATTCCCTAGCGCTCCCTTGTTTGACGGCTGCGACTGTTCCAAGCCAGCCGAGAGTGATGAAATGAGCTAAAACAGGCGTCTGAGCAGTTACAGCGGCGCTCACCAAGTGTCGCTCTCAGGAGAGTCCTCCTCCCCTCCCCGGCTACTGCTCTTCATGTGCATAAATTAATTTTCCAATCACAAAGCCAACCAGAAATTGAAGTGCAGAAACTTGGAAGCCAGGACGGAGTTACAAGTTGTGAGGACTCCGTGACGCGCAGGGCCAGGCTCCTTAGACCTTAAACTGCCATTGGGCCTCCTCCTCCTCCCTCCTTCTTCCCTCCTCCTCCCTCTTCCCTCCTCCCTCCTATTCCTCCCTCCTCCTCCTCTTCCTCCCGCCCTCAGGTTCTCCCGAATCCAGTCAAGTCTACTCTCATCTCTCCGTGCTGACCCTTTCTCCTCCCGCCGCCGCGGGTGTCAGGCCGCCACCAGCTCTGTCCCCCGCCCCTGCAGCTGTGTCCTGAATTGTCCTCCTGCTACTCGCTTCTTTCCAGACCATTCTCCGATATTTCATCCAGCCTGAGTTTCGAAACCTTAAGCCTGCTCACCTCACTCCCTGCTTAAAGTTCTTCAGCTGCGCCCCAGGCCCTGGGTGAAGTCCCGATTCCTTACGGGGCCTTGTGGGCCCTTCGTGACCTGCCCACCTCCCTCCCTGGCGGCCTTTTGCCCTCTGCCATTTCCTTTCATCTGTCTGCCTCCCGCCTCGGACCCTCCTACACACTGTTGTGCTTGTCTGGGAAGCCTCCTGCATCTGGGGTGCTCCAGCTCCTGCCCAGGCCCGCGCCCCCACTGTCCCCTCTGGGTGGAGGCATTTCCTCCTGTAGCCTGGGGGTGCTCCCTGAGTCCTCCTCTGGTCACATCTCGCTGTTCCAGTCCCATTTCCTGCTGCCTCCTTAGCTCCCAGTCCCTGAGTCACAGCAGACGAGTCGTCCATTCCAGTCGCCCGCCAATCACTCACTTGTTGAAATGTTCCAGGAAAATGAGGCTGGTGGAGGTGCCGATGATGGTGGTCAGGCCCCCGATGGTGGCGGCGTAAGATATGCTCAGGGAGAGGCACTTGCAGATCATCTGGTCGTGCTGGGACTTGTACTTTCTGCCGAGTTCCTGGTTCCTGGGGCGGGGGGCCGGGACACGGGCCTTTTCCTGCCAAGGGAAACAGTGAATCTCACCCCAGCCCGGCTGTGCCGCGCCAAACACGCGACTCTGGGTGCCCGGGGTCCACGGCCAGGCTTTGAGCTCGGGAGTCAGAGCGACAAACCCCAATCTCAGGGCTTCCATCTGACAAACCGGGCAGCCCCTCCCGGCCACGGTTTCGTCTATAAAGTGGGTAAAGTCGCCTTTTCTCGGCCGGGGAGTTGTGAAGAAGAAGCAAAGAGATGAAAAGGCTCTGAGGACACACAGAACCTGGCACCCAGGGATCACTAAGCTGGTATTTCTGTTACTGACATTTTTATTGGTATTGACACGCTCTGTTTTTCACTTGAAGTCTAGTAAAACTGGTCGCTCCCCACTGCATGTGTGACTACCCCCAGGGATGGCCGTGCCATGTGCAGGTGGATGACAGTCCCCTGGGGGAGATGACCGCAAGGCAAGCGTGGGTCGCGGAAGAATCCGGCTGCCACCGGGCAGGGGCAGGCTGTGTGCTTCTCTCCTGTCCTTCTTTACTCTTTTCTCCATTCTTCCTGCTGCCTTCTCCTCCCTCCTGCACACCAGCTTCCACCTTGCTGTGGTCCTCTCAGGGGCTGCTTAGTCCAGGTGATGGCCTTTCAGGGTCAGAGGCTGCTGACCTCTAGTCCCAAGTGCACTAAAGGAGCAAGTGTCCATCTGTCCTTCCAGGCCTGGCCACCCCTTTGTGAGTCTTCACTGGAGTTAAGAATGGCTTGGAGTGGAGGCCACTAGGCCAGGTAGGTTGCAGGAAAACCATGGGGACAGGCCACCTTGCCACCTTTCTCCAAGCCCTTAACCCCTGGCCAGTCTTCCAGGAGGGCCCAGGCCAGTCTGGGCCCTTCCAAATCTTCCAGATTGATCATCAGAGCTGGAAGTGACCTGATATAGAATCTCTGATTCAGTGGCTTCCATGATCCTTTTTTCTTTTCTTTTTTTTTTTAAGATTTATTTATTTATGCATACAAGAGCTGGGCACAGGCCAGAGATGCGGCGGGGGGGGGGGGGGGGGAGGTGAGAGGATCCACCAGAGACAGAGCGCGGAGCAGAACAGGCAGACTGACTGAAATACACTGCTGAGGGGAGCAGCGGGCAAGACAGGAGAGGTCTGCTGCGCCATGTGGGTTGCTCCCTGGAGGGCCGGGGATCGAATTTGTGCTGCAGAGGCTGCGGATTGCTTCATAGTGCGTTGCTTAACCCCTTGCGCCACCAGAGAGGCCCCATGATCCTTTTATCTGATGACTTTGACTCAGTACTTAACATGTCAATGTAGCGTTTAATTAGCACACCTCTGCCAGTTAAACAACTGAGTCACACGCATGGGCAGAGGGACTTGGATTTGGATGGGGGTGCCCCCCTCACTAGCTCCCAGGCCTTGGGTATGTGATTTTATTTCTCTGCTTCAGCTTCAAAAATGGAGTTCAAAATCGCTGCCTCGCAGAGGCGAGACCAGAGAAAGTGCTTAGCACAGTGTTAGCCAGAGAATATGTGTAAGATAAACGGTGCCCGTCATTGGTGCTGCTGCTGGTGGACACTAAACCACGGGAATGGTTTTGATGAACATAAACATTTGAAAATCAAGGGTTATAAGTGACAGCTGTTATTTCACACTCATTTCAAGATCCTTTTTATCTCTGCATTTTGTTTCAGTGGAATAGTACTAGGGAAGTTCCTTATTTGCACTGAAAAGCATTTGCCTTAACATTCTTGGGACATGGAAGTAAAATATCCGCAGTGCTCCTGAAGCACCTGTGAGGATCAGTCTGAACACCTGTGATCCAGACCACCCAACCCCCAGTTTCACGGTTGAAGACATGGGGCTTAGGCAGTGGGTGACTTCCAAAGTCAACAGCGACCTGGATGTTTCATCCCCCGGGCACACGCAGCCCCAGACCTGCTGGGGAGAAGGGGCCTGGTGACAGCTCGCTAGCCCGGGGCCCTCATGACCAGTGTCCTCTGGGAAATATTTCAGGTGGGAGGCGCCATTCCCGTACCTGAGACAGGTGCTGCGTCTTGCCTGGGGGGCCTGCTGTCTTGCCAGGGCTGGTGATGGCGGGCACGCCGTTCAGGTTCTGTGGGGACAAAGGACGTCACCTGTCAGGAAGAGCCGACTCATCCTCACAGGATACCCCGCTAGGCCTCCGTCCCACAGGTCCCCATCCAGCCCACAGGCACCCCACTTCAAAACTTGGCTGCACATGGCTCTGCCCATACAGGAGAGCTTGGACTTCTGTAACTTTATAAAAAGCTAAGAAGAGCCCCTCACTTTCCTTTAATATGAAGAAAATGAAATAAAAAAAAATCTCACCATAACAAAGTTCACAGTTTGGGCCGATCAGAGTCCCATCCATTGGAATTGATGTAAGAAATAGGAAACCAGTTTTGGAGGCCCAAGGGTGAGCAAGTAACTGCTTTCCCCTATAAATGTGTGCCTTTTTAAAGGGAAACCCCCACAGTAGCTCCTGAAAACACTCTGGGGTCCAGCGTGGCTGCTGGGGTCTCTGCCCCTGAGTTATCTTGAGGGCTTTCCAGTGGCCTCTGCAGAAGCCCCAGGCCATACCTTGTTCTGCATCAGAGAAGTGAGGTCCGCAGTCGAGGTGCTGGAACAAAGCAAAGGCCCAGACTTCGTGAGATGGATGTGTTGAGTGTGGGTTTAAGCGACTTCTCTAGTCTCCGATTTTCTAGGCTACAAAGAAGCCTCACTCACCCTCGCCTTCTGGAGACACTGTCAGGATGTGGGGGGCAGGAGCTTGCTGTTTCCCCAGGCCGGGGCACCATTCCCTTCGCAGGGATACTGACCCACCCTGCAGCTGACATGACGGGCCAGCTCTGGAATACGGACTTTCCTCACAGGTCCCTGGTGCACTGACACAACAGGAAGTTCCCCAGTGAGCGTTTCTAACTCCCCGGGGGCACCAGGGCGCTGGTGCTGGTGCCACCCCGGCCAGACTGTCTGCTTGGGGTGCCTGGGCCCCTGAGCCGGTGAGGGTCACTCTCTAGAAAGAGAAACTTGTAAAGTGGAGGGTTGCACTGGTGAGGGGCTGGTGAGAGCAAGGGGTTTCTGATCAGCAAGGACAGTCAACTGAGTCCCCCCCCACACCTGTTGTGCCCCAGCCTTTGCCTGAGTAGAGAGGCAGGCGAGGCTTTAACTGTCTCATGACTGACTGACGCTGAGGAGCAAACGGCTGTTTCCACTGGTCTTAATGCTGGGGACAGTGGGCGCTTGGAGCCACCCGCCATAAAGACAAAGGAGAGGTGCTGGACACCCCCCCAGGACTCGGGGTCCTGTGGCATCACCCATCTCCAGGCTACGTCAGGGAAAGGACAAGCTGTTAATGGGGTTCAGCAGGAAGATTCTTTGGAGAGAGAGCTGTCTGCAGGGGCGTAGTGTTGGGATGTTTCCCTCCCCCCCCCCAAGTCAGGTGGGGCGGGCAGGCAGCCGAGGAGGAGACTGGCCTCCTCACACGCAGACAGCCCTGCTCCCACACCCTCGGACAGAGCTCCAGGGACAACATGAGCTTTGGCTTTGGGGTTCGGAGATACATAGATTCATGGGGAAAAGAACAAAAGCAGGAGGCCAGTGAGGTGCTGCCCACGAGGCCCATGTGAGGGGAACAGCCCCGCTGCAGTGGGAGGAGCCACTGCCCGTTCTCCAGGGCACTGAGGCCCGGGTGGGCGTGGCAAACGCAAAGGTAGCTGGGCCATCTTGAACAGTTTTGCCCATGAGGCAGAGGCAGCTCCCGAGGGGCTGTGAGATTGAGCCTCAGATCACAGAGCAGTGGAGGAGTCAGGTGGGGGACACACCTGCTTATCTCCCACCAGCAGGCCTGGGGCTATGCAGAGGCAGCCCCAAGGGGACACCCCAAAGACCCTGAAGGTAGGTGCCTGACCAGTGAAAGAGCTGGCATCTGAATTTCAGGGAGGGCAGGAACCCCACCCTACAACACCTGCAGCCCTTTATCTTATCTGCACCCTGAAGCCTCTGCCCTAACCCTGGAGCAGGTCCGAAGCAGCAGATGAAGTTGCGGGGAGGGGAGAGAGAAGGCACTTGTCAACTCTTGCCCCCACTGGCTTTTTCCTCCTACTCTGCAGACCCAGGCCGACAGGGGTGGCTGTGAGCAGGGAGGAGATGGGGCAGAGATTGAAGCTTGGATACGAGTCTGGACTGACTGCGGAATGTCTGAAACTACGATCGTCCTAATATTTGAAAGGAACAGAAGATCTCAGGGATTTGCCCGAGATATCAAGGGTCACACTTTAGAGCTATTTCCTGATGGCGCTGCGTGTGTCCACCCCCTTCCATCTGCTGATACGCTCAACTGAGTTCTGTATTTTGCACAACAAGGGCACATTGGAAGGCTGAGCTCTAATTCAAATCCAACATTTAAAGTGGAATATTCACCGTGGGATACACCTGGAAGATTCCTTATCGGTGCCAGATCTCCAAAAGGAATCAGCTGTTAGTGGACCGACCTCACATCCGTATTCATGACTTTATTTCTCCTGTCCTAGCTGCTGCTTCTCTTATTGACTGTCTTCTCATCGCCCACCTGTTAGCTCATTTTCTTTTGCCATATCTAACAAGATACAGAGCTAGGAAGACCTTAGCTAACAGCCATAAAATGCTTTGTGATTCTCTGAGGTCTCCAGAGACATCCATGATGTCGGTATATTGCAGTTAATGTGTTCTCCTAAGAGGGACATCAGTGGAGCGCAATGCTAGTGGGTAGCTGCATGGATAATTCATACCCCCTCTCATATCTGGTATTGTCTTTTTCTCTTTAGTCATCTCTGCGATACCCTGTGGTTAAGGTTGTGCTCAAGATCTTGGCAAGTGGCTCTCAGGTTTGGAGGGGAAATCAGGCCGGTGAAGGGGGTGGGATGGCAAGACACCCCTCTGTTTTAGGGGCTGAGCCCAGCATTCCTGACCTCTGCAGGGGGCCTGCAGGACTCTGTCTGGGGGGGGGGGGGCGTCATACTCACTCTTCATTGACAAAGATGAGTTCCAGAGAGGGTTGGCTGTTGTTTACATCAAGATCTGCAGCACAAAGGACAGCAGGAAGTGAGATGTGGGGGGCTGGAGCTGGCCCTCCAGCCCTGGCAGGGGCTCAGGGCTGGGTCTCAAAGAGAAAGGAGCATGGGCTTGTCACACCCCTTGAGCATTTAGCGGAAAGGAGCAGAGGTGGCTGCTGCAAGTGAGGAGGAGGAGCTGGGATTGGGGGGGATTGGCACAAGGTGGCTTCAGTTACCAGAGCTGGCGTGGGCTGGAGGGGAGGGCAGGGAAGTAGCAGAAGATTGGGAGGGACACAAGTAAGAGGGTCCTGGCAGTGGCACCACATTGGGGAGCATTGGCAGAGGAGGGTAGAAGTCAAGGGTGGGGGGGACTCCAGCAAACTGTACTCATGGGCTCTGCCTCTTCGGGGCTGGAGTTGCTGGCGACGAGCTGCTCCTCCTCGGCGCCGACCAGCTCCTGCAGCACGGCCTCCACGATGGGCATGACCATGGCCGTGGTGGACGTGTTGGACAGCCACATGGACAGCAGCGTGGTGCAGCACATGAAGCAGAGCAGCAGCCTGCAAGGCAGGGAGGGCCGGGCACACATTACCAGGCGGCCATCCCCAGGGCCTCCTGCGGACCCCTGGCGCTGGCCTGGCCTTCTGCAGCTGGAGCTTTTCCAGAAAATCAGGGGCACCATTCACCTTTGTACTCCTAGGGCTCGGAACAGAGTAGACAGTAAATATCTGCTGAGTGAATAAATCACACTTCATGGGCTAGTGGCCTTAAAAAAGCTCTGCTTAAGTGAATGGCCTCGGTAGCCAACTCTGGGCCTCGGCCTGACCCCGACTGCTTGTCTCTTGCTGTGGACATTAGTATGTTACCCGCCCAAGTCATGGAGGTGCCCCAGCCACCGTGTGCGTTTTCAGAGGGCATCTCAGAGTCAGCGCATGGAGGGATCCCCCAGGAAGGGAGCACCCCTGTTATTTCTCCCTGACTCTGAAAACGTGCAATGCGCTTGTACGGGGTTCTCATCTTGTGAGCTGAACCGATCTCTGGACACCTGTGTTTATTCCTTTACGTGGAAGATGGGCTTTGCACGGCTGGGGCCAGCAAGCGTGTGGATTACATTGGGGTCGGCCCCAGTCCCGTGGCGATCAGCTCAGGCTGCTAGAGCCAGGAGCGTCCTGCCCTGGACACGCACTCACAAGCAGCGTGCCCTGTGAGCGTGGATGAGGCCAACGGAGAGATGTGGAAACACACGGGGGTGAAATGTTCTTGAAGCTAGAATGCTGAGGTTTAAAGACTGCTGAGTCGAAACGTGATGAGCCGCCATTGTGCCCAGGGGGTTGGGTGTGGGTACGAGATGGTCACTGAGGGAGGGAGTTAACTTAGGGTTGAGGGGAGATGGGCGCAGCTTATGGAGGAAGCGTCACGGGGATCCATCTAATCGACTAATGCCAGAAGCTAAGGCCACGTTATTTGTACTCTGACTCCCAGGATCGGGGCCGTCAGCTAGGAGGAGGGCAGGAATACAATATTCCAAAGGGAAGATCAAGGCCGGCTTTCCAGTGGAGCAGCAGTGAGGCTCACACAGTCTTTCCTACACTTTCCCCGAGGCCGGGCTCCCCGCCGGCCTTGGCAGCAGAGAGCCGAAGGCTGGGAGACTCTGGTCTAGGGCAACCGTGTAACCTGGCCTGTGCCCCAGGCCCACGGCAGCGAAAGCTCAGGAGGGACAGGGGACAGGCCAGACACCTGCTTCCTGTCCTCCTGGTCACCCCAAAAAGACTGGGAAGCAATTTGTGTCATTTCACCTTGTTTGACCTACCGAACACCTCACATTTCATGCCCTGCTTTCTTGCTTCTGGGGTGCTCAGGTCAGCTATTTTGATTGGGATAACAAATGCCAGCAAAGGCACAGCCAAATCTCTATCCTGTGGTCACAGGCCCTCACCCCGGAGAGGGCGGTGGGAGCAGGAGGCACTGGCACCACCCATCCCTCTGGGTGGAAAAGCAGCCTGCCCTGGGCATCCACCCGGGGTCCAGCCCAGAAGCTGGGGGTGGGGGGCAGGGCAGCGGGGCGCCCCCGGACTTACATGCCTGGCTTGGCTCCGGCCATCATGACCATGCGCAGGGCGATGCGCTTGTGCAGGTTCCACTTCTCCACGGCGGCTGCCACGCAGATGACGCCCACGAGCAGCAGCGTGGTGTTCTTGAAGTACTCGGCCGCCACCTGTGGAGGCCATGCTGTCACCCGGGCCCGCCCTGCCCGCCCCGCCAGCCGGCGCTGGGGGAGATGAGGATTATTAAATGACGGGCCGATGGACGTGTCTGTGCATGTAACAGACACGCTACCTTGCGCAGGCTGTGCTAGGGGCTTTACAAAGAGTATTTTATTTAATCGGGCCAGGAAACTTATAGAATAGATATTCTTCTCCCCTAAAAAATAAAATCCCCAGGGCCTCCCTGGTGGCAAGGGTTAAAGTCTCAGGGCTATCCAGCTATTGCCAACCATTGAGGTATGAGTTCATGAGTTCGATCCCCGGCCGCGGAGGTGACCCACATGGCTCAGCAGACCTCTCCTGTCTCGCCCGCTGCTCCCCTCAGCAGTGTATTTCAGTAGATGCACCTGTTCTGCATCCCACTCTCTCTTTCACGCCCCACCCCTCTGGCCTAAACCCCAGCTCTTGTATGCATAAATAAATTAAAAAAAATCTTTTAAAAAGAAATTCAATATTTTTGAGTATTTTTAAATTAAATATTTTAATTTGAATATTTTAAAATCCCTTCAATATTTTTAAAACTATATAGGCACAAAACTAGATTTACATAGTATGTGTAGTTTTAGATCCAGCATTCTTGCATTTTAAGTTGTATCCAGATCCTTTTCTTATGAGACTTAAATTTATTGAAAAAATTCATGTTAATGTTTGCATAATGCACCATAGAATTTATTTGGCCATTTTCCTTTGTTGAACACTTAGGTTGATTCTTTTTGTTGTTGTTGGGCTGCTACAAATGGAACAAATAATCATTTTCTGCTTAAATTTTACCCTTCCTTAGCATAGAGGTCTTGAAGGTGTCTTTATAATTGCCTTAAAAATTTTCAATAACTCCAAATAATTCCAAAGTCCCAAAGACTCCCATAATGATGACAGCTCAGGAATTCCCATACACACACACACACTCTCTCTCTCTATATATATATATATGTATACACACACACACACACACACAGATTTCTGAACCATTTGAGAGTAAGTCACATGTATTTTGGCTCTTTACCCCTAAATATTCCATATATTTACAGCTTATTGCTTGCCAGTAAAACTTCCTGTGACTCTAGCCTGTGACCCCAGAACATTCCTTGTGGGCTCCACTAATTTCACACAACACAGAGCTGCCATCATTGCTTCATGCTTGGACTATTTATTTCTTAATGTATTCTCTTGCCTTTCAACTAAACCTTAGGCTACAAATGGCCAAGGACCGCGTTGCTTTCTCTGTCTTAACACCTAGTAGAATAACATGCAAAAGAAGAGGCTCAGTCCATCCTTGCCACATACACAAGAACTGTTCCCAACAATGGACTGTGATAGAAAATGAGAGGAAAAGATAGAAAAAATTAATGTCTAATTGAGAAACTCTTTTAAAGTAAGAAAATAGGAAACGTTTTAACTGCAGGAGAAATAAAGATTGGACAGGGAAGGAAATGTAGATGATACAAGTGGTGTTTGCAGCTGATGCTGTTTACTTTGATTGTTGAGTTAACTGTTAAACTTGATTGTTGAATTAACACAAGTTGGGCTGCACCACTACGGGGAAGATGGAGGGAGAGGGTTGGGAGAGATAAGAGAACAGGTCCTGACCCGGTGGAATGGGGAGTCAGCTGATAATGGCTAAAAAGTGACAACTCAAGAATTAATCTACGAATAAGATATAGGAATGTGGAGCTTAATACCAGGAGAAGCAGTTACCAGAGTTGAAAGTTATTGACTCTGGGTCGGGGAGGTGGGACTTGGTGGTGGTGGTGGTGGGGTTGGGGGGTGTCCTGGGGGCCGAGCAGGGCTGGTTTTCATTATGGGCTTTTCAGTATTATTGGATTTTCAAACTGCGCGGTGCACTTCAATAACACAAAGGCAACCTGCTCATTGCCCCCCTTCTTCTTTGGCCCCCAGGAGATTCCCTTGTGTCTGGTTGATGAGGAGAACATGTGCCCTTCCTGTGATCATAGCCTGGAAGAAGAGCTCTCTGCTTCCAGTTGAGCTACTTCTGGTCCCCAAACCCAATCCTCATGGACATGGTCACTACTAATGCTCCCCGAGAGCAAAGAAGGCCCTTTGCTCTGCGGGACAAGGGGCTGGGGGCAGAGTGGGGATTCCTGGGAGGGGCAGGAAGGCTTCTGGCTGTGACTGTGGGCCAAGATGAGGCCCCCGAGAGGGAGGCGGTAGCGTCACCAGGATCCTGAAGGTTGGGGGGGTGCCTGGACCTCTCTTTCCAGCTCCGTGACCTTCCTAAAACTGGGGATTTCTTCCCCTCTGCCTTCTGAGGCAGAAAAGCAAGATTCCCCTCCTTGGGAAGCTTTACTCAATGTCACGAGGGTTACTTTCTCCAGGAACTGTGCACTGGGAATCTAGATAATGAAGCTTGTTAGACGTGTTTGCAAAGAGAAGTTAGATTCTCAAATGAGCCCCACTCCCGTGAGTTCTGGGCTTTGTGATATTTGCATGGGCGGTTTTATTGCCCTTTGTGCTTCATAGTATGAGGTAGGTCAAATCCCTGGACTTGGGGAGCAGAGGTATTTTAGAAGACCTGACTCAAGGAGGTTGCGTTGAGAGGGTGGTGATGAGTATAGCAATCCAGCATGGCTTGGGGAGTGCAGAGCTGCATGCTCTTGGACACCTGACTTGATGCTATTGGACAAGCTCTTATGCCCTGTGCCCTCTAGAGCTAAGCCCCCTAACAGGCTACCATTCCTGCCAGACCCAATCCAGGGTGACTGGTGCCTCTTATGAATACCCTTTCTGCTGGGTAAATTGGTGTGACTCAGACACCTTCTCACCCCCTGATTTGTATTCTTCCAAGGACAGAGGTTGTCAACCCCAACTCAGGGCCTGTCACTGGGCTTTCACTTCCAGGGACAGGAATGCCAGGACCATGCGTGGCAGACCATTACAGTGTTCCTTCTACAGGGGGGCATCGTCCCTAAGATGCTTTGACTCTGGTTCTGGTTTAGCCCTTTGAGTTTTATAAGTTGAGCTGCAGAAGCCAGAAATCAACCCCCTCTTGAGCCTTCTTCATTCCTCTTGTGACTCTTGTTCTAGAGTTTTGATATCTCACCCATCTCTGAATGAGTTCCCATGTAGAATTTGGTGCTCTGGACACCTCTGTTCATTAATTATAGGTAAGAGTTCAGTATATATTGGCCAGTGGCTAGGAGCAAGCTCTGGCACCAGACAAGTCTGGGTTCAAATCCTGGCTCTGTTACTTAACTAGCTGTGTGACCTCCTGTAAGCTACTTAACCTCTCTGAGCTTTCATTTCCACTGTGAAGAGAAGATAAAAACAGTCAACACTTTACAGAGGATTAAAGGACCTCCCACAGTGCCTGGCAAAGACAACTGTGGCTGCCTGCCTGGACTGATAGCTGACTCATCCTGAGTCCTCAGCGAAGAGCCAAGGGTCCTTTTCACACATCCTATTTATCCTATTAAACTTCATTTTGTCAGTTTCACTCCATTGTCTCATCCTGTCAGCATCAATTCTGTCACCATCAGGCTCTGCAGCATCTGCAAATCCCATAACATGCCTTTTATGTTTTGGTTTGCTCTCTCTCCAGCCCAATGCCAAAATGTTACTCAGGATTCTCTAGTTTCAGCTGTTCAACCAGCACTTGAGTTCCTCAACTATGACACCATTCAGCTCAACTTGACTCTTCAGAGTGAGGGTATTTTTTCCCCTTGAAATTTTGAAGGCACCAAAGGAAAAATTAATTTATATTCAATGACTTCTGTTTAAATGACCAGGGAAATTATAAATTCTTTTAGAAAGATCTTGATCAGATAAAGTTTGGACACTTAACAGGGTTAATTTATTTTCTCTAGAACATTCCTGCATGTCCATTGTAATCTGTCACAATGCCAGAAAACGAGGCATTCTTGCAGAGGGCCTTCCCTATGCTTTCTTGTAGCTTGTACTATCTGTAGAATAGAAACTTCTTGAAATCAGGAGTCATTTCTCTGAGGTCATGTAAGCTTTGCCCCTAGTGAATTCTTAAGCTCTGCTGACCAAGTCATCACCCTAAAAATCAACCATTTCTATCTATTCACATATCCAGCCGACAGTGGAAGTTCAGACGCAGTAGTTATCAGATTCCAGTGGTCAGAAGTTATGTTTCTTTCATTTTTGTGCCCGTCATAGTGCCAGTAACATTACGTATCATACACGGTGAATACAGAGCTCAGGAAATATTTTTCTGAATTTGAGTGAGTAGCACCAGGGTCCAAAGTCACAGCCCCAGACTCGCCCTGATCTGTGTCCTATGCCCCCCTTCAGAGGGAGGGTCCACTCTGGACACACCACCAGGATGCAGTGCGATCCAGAAACATTAACGAGGGCTGGAGGACGCCTGACCAGCGAGGGCCGGGGGCTTCGTAAATCCCAGAGGGTGAGCTCGCTGGAGAGGCCACGTCTCCAGAAAGCTCATTTCTGGTGCATATCATGAACCATTTAAAGAATAAAGACTCCCAACAGGCTCCAAGAGAGGGAACCAACCAGTAGCCAAGGGCTTTGGAAGGACTTCACCCAACAGCATAATTGGGTAGTATTTTAAGTCAAAGGATGAGAGAGGACTTTCCAGGGAGGAAGGGCGGCTTCAGTCCCAGTGAGAGCTTGGCAAACCCAAGGCAGGCCTGCCCAAGTCTGGGGCGGGGGCTCCTGAAGACCCCAGCCTCGCTTCCCTGGTGTTCCAGCCCATGCAGGCAATGGCTGTGGAGCAGATAAGCCTCACAAAGGCTGTAACCAAATCATCTTCCTTATCAGCCTTTCCCTCTAATCTGCCACTGGAAGGCCTACTAAACAGGCTAGATTTTGGCTAAACTATAGCTCAACCGCTAAGTATCAAAACCACTTTATCAGATACAAGGGGTAGGATTTTTTTACCCAAATGATAAAACTTGCCCTCTGGCCCCTACAGGACTTTCTGCCTCCAGCGCCAGCAATAACAACCCTGCAATCCCCTCGTCTTGTTCTCCTCACAACCTCATGTTACCCTCACCAACTAGTGCTTCCTTAGACTCCTTATAGGGCTGGCCTTCTTGGCTGAGCAAAGGGACTGTGTGTGTGTGTGTGTGTGTGTGTATACTGTTGCCTTAGCAACATAGATCTGAGGCCCCCACAGGCAGCCTTAGGGACAAGCCATCATATATTTTAAGGTTAAGGTATGCTTTTGGCTTTTTGTTGGTTTTTTTTTTTAAGAAAAAAAAGGGAAGGAAGCTGCCTGCATAGACACAGGTGGGCAGAGGTCTGCAGCTGAAAGGGATCGTTTTGTTAAGAGATGCCTGCCTAGATAGTCTCAGGACCAGAGCTGCCTGTTGTCAGTGGTTGGCCTCCCTTAGTGAAATACAAAGCCAGGTCTCCTAATTAACAACTAACTCACTTTAAAATGTTATTAAAGGTTTGATTCTATAACTGCATTTTTTCCTCTACCCTCTACATTCAGCCCCTGACTCATGGGCTTTTCTTAAATTGGTTTCACAGATGTAGAAAGAAACTTGCAGACAAGTGTCTATACTTCTCTTAAGCAAAGGCCCTTGCAGGCTCGCACACAGACCCAAGCCACACGTTCTCTTTCCGCATGGGGTTGGGGGGATTGCAGCCGCGCCTGGCGATTCAGATCTCAGGCTGGCGTTTATGTGACTCCCCAGGACACAGCTCTAGGAAGAAAAGCACCGCTGAGGGTTTGGGAGGCCTTGTCCTTTTTGGAGAACTGAGGCTATGACTATTCATGCCCCAAAAACAAAACCCAAAGAACAAACCGACAAAAAACCCATAACAAAAAACACACGAGTGACTGAAAACCCAAATGCTCCAAAACAAAACAAACACCGGCCAACTGAGTCCATTCAGTAGAAAGACAACCTGTTCATTTCCAGGCAGCTACAACTAACGGATCACCTAATTCTAATGACTCACCACGAGGCTATAAGGCATTTTATGGAGGGTTTTGCTGGAGGCCTACTTAGCAGAAGTACACACTTTGCAGCCTAATAGCTAAAGGCTTGAATCAGTGTGCTACGGCCTACTTTGTGGTTTTGGCTAAGTTCCTTTATTCCCTGAACCTCTTTCCTCAACTGTAGCATAGAAATATTAATGCCCACCTTGTAGAGATCTTAGAAGAATTAAATAACAGATATAGCACTTGCGGCGGAGTGCCTGGTTCCTAGCAGGCATGCAAACATCTCTGCCTTTCCTCTCCTGTGCCTCTGGCTTACTCTCTACCATTCAGTCAGCTACCCTGAGCAGACACCAGAGGAGACAGTAAGGAGACAGCCCAGAGGAACCAGATGGCAGTGAGTGAGGACCGCCATCTTGCTACTGATCTGTTTTTCCTCTTTCTTATTTGTGGAAGGCTTAAGTGTTTGTCCTGAAGCACTTTATGTGGGTTTCGTGCTAATAATTTCGGTTTGAGTCTTTAAGAATGCCATAGGAGATGCCAGGCAGAGGGCAGACTCTGGGTAGACAGGAGATAAGGAAAGAACACATGGTAACCTCGTTGGGGAAAAAGCAACAGAAATGGGTTTTTTTCTTTAGCGGAAGTGGATGAAGACATTGTGAGGACTCAGGGAACATGAGTCTCTCTGGCAACCAACATTTATTGAGCATCTACCCTAGAGACGGGCTCTACTTTCTAATGAGACTCCCAAGACCCGGGAGGTCTGATACCTGCTTTGCCTCTTAATGGACAGACAGGACACTAGGACAGACCAACAAGATGGAGACTGTGTGCCCCGATCCCAGAGTTGTGGAAGAGTTTCAGGTGGAAGGAGCAATTGGATGTGCTGAATCAGCAAATCACAGACCTGGAAGGAGGCAAGATTTGAACCAGTTTGAAGGAGACACAGGGTGACGGAGAGGAAGCCAGGGCCTGGAGCAGCAGGTGGGAAGGCTTAGTGCCAAGGGGTTGAAAAACAAAACAAAACACACAAGCCCCTCCTAGGTGCTTGGAGCGTCTCCCCTCACCCTGCGCCCTCTCTCACTGCCCCCAGGCTCGAGCAGGGGCCCCGGGCAAGTGGGCTAACCTCGCTGGAGCGGAGGACTCCGAAGAAGGGGTACAGGAAGGCTGGCACCAGGGCTGCAGCTCCCAGGGGCACCGCCTCGGACACCCAGTACACCGCCGTCACGATCAGCACGTAGGCGCACGCTGCCTCCTGTTAGGGGGGAGAGAGGCGGTTAGTCACCCCGACAGCCGCAGCCGGATGACCCGCAAGGCGCGGGCACTCGGCCCGGGGGGACAAAGCCGGGCGTGGCAGGGCGCGGGGGGCACCCTTGGCCGAGGCCTGCCTTGGGGTGGGGGACGCGGACGGCTGCGCCTGGCGCGCACCAAGCGCGGGGTGGTGGCACCGGGTTGCAGCAACGCGCCGCCGGCTGCAAGTGACCACAGCCCTGCGAGGGCCGGACACTGGCGGGCAGGGACTGAAACTGTCTGCAGCGAGCGGATCCCACACTGCGCGCACTGCACAGGTGGAGCGCGCAGCTGCTCCTGGGGCGGGCAGGATATTTGCGCGTCAGGTGGACACTTAGAGCGGGTGCGGCCATCGAAGGCAGGGGGCAGTGTGTGGGACTGGGTCCCAGCGAGCTCCCAGGTCGCGCATTTGGGCTTGAATAATTCCTGCCTGGGGGCGGGAGGGGGCGTGGGGTGGTGGTGGAAGCCGGTGCATTGTAAAATGTTTAGCAGCATCCCTGGCCTCTCCCACTAGATGTCAGTAGCACCTCCCCATTGAGATAACAAAGTCTTAGACCGGCCAAAAGTCTCTTGGGGGGTGGGGTGGGGAGGTCGCCCCAGGTTGAAGATGGAATATTCTGACACTTCATTTCACCTGCGGGTGATGCGCAGGGAAGGCTCCCTGACAAAGGAATAAACACCACCCACCTGGAAGGAAAGGGATGGAAATGACACACTTTCCCGCCCCCCACCCCCCAACTTTGCTAGTTACACCACCTCAGGACTCACGGATTAATAAGCACAGAGTTCTTATGAAAACTCAGCCCTCCTTAACCAAGGCCTGCAGCAAGGCTGAATGGCACAGGTGAAAGGTGTTGGGAACGGTCACAGGCGTCCCCTGGGAGCGTCCTCTGTGGACAGTGGACCTGGAGGGCCACTGTTTATAAGACCCCAGCGAGCTGTGGGGTCCTCAGTTTTTACATAGTTCTTAACCATCCCTGCTCAGGTCTGGCAAGCCCAGAGGGCGGCTGGAACCTGACAAATCTTGTTCTGTTTATCTCTCCCTTGGATTCAGAGCAAACATCCTCAGACTCTTGCATAAAAGTTACAAAAGGTTCCTAGGATCAGTGAGGGGCTTCAGGAGTGATTAACCCAGTTTGACAGGATGGGACCTTGCTCCTTCCTGAAACCCATGGATGATGGGGTTGGGGCTTGAGCCCAACAATTGTTGACTGGAGCTCCCGCTGAGATGTTCTCTGGGGCCAGAAGATCAGCCAAGATAAAAGTCTTGGGAATGGAGATAAGACAGCATTAACAAAAAATGACCCCATTTGAAAACGAATGTAATGGAAATACCCTCTTTATGGCAGAAATAAAGGGACCTAAAACCCTTTAGCCCACTAGGTCCACTTGTTCTCACTCTTTTATGAGAAAGAGACCAAATAGCAGGTCCTGATGCCAATTGAAGTTGAAGGGGACAGAATGTCCCTCCCTTACCGAGAAGTCCTTGTTGAAGATTGAACCTTCAATCTTTCTGGTCCTGGTCATTAAACCGCCACAGAAAGTGAAGGGGAGAGGGCGGGAAAGAAGTGAATCTGTCCTTTACCGTGGGCTATTTTGCTTTTTTTTTTTTTTTTTTTAAATTTATTTATTTATTTGTACAAGCACTGGGTACAGTCAGAAGCGCGGGAGGGTGAGAGAATCCACCAGAGCCAGAGTGGGGAGCAGAACAGGCAGAAGGACCGAAGTACACTGCTGAGGGGAGCAGCGGGCGCGGCAGGAGAGGTTTGCGCGACATGTGGGACCCTCACCTGGTGGCTGGGGATCGAACCGGCGCTGCAGAGGCTGTGGGCAGCTTCGCAAACCAGTGCTCAACTGCTGCGCCACCGGGGAGGCCCTATTTTGCTTTTTTAAACTTGTTTTTGGTTTATTTCTTTTTCTTTTTCTTCTTTTTTTTTTTTAAATTAAAACATTTTTAAAAATTTACCAGGTACCATTTGGGTCTGAATTAGAATTTGGGGGTAAGCCAAATTCTAATTTAATCTTAGGTAATTCAACTTTCTGATTGTAACTATTAGGAATTTGGACCGGTTCCTGCAGGAAGTCACCAAGCCACCTTCATCCCTGGTATTAAGAACAGGATAAACTACCATTTAGATAAACTTCTCTTAGAGCAGAAGAATAGATAGAGACCCCCGGTAGAGAGGTTTTTCTGTATAGTAACTGACCAGTTCAGCCATGCAATTGACAGAAGCTTCCTTTTGCCCCTTCTTATTCTCAAAATTCAGTAGATAAGCTTAAATTCTGACAACTCAAAATATCCTGACTATAGAAGCCCTGTTTCCCTGCATTTAGGCATCAGGTAGCCCAATCTATGTAGGACAAACTGAATTGGGCTCCTCCAGTGACCAATGGGTCCCTCTTATCTACCCAAGAGAATATTCTAGAAGTCCAGATTCTTGTGTCTGCCACTGGTCACTAGGTATGTGGGGGTAGGTGAGTATTCAGGCTGTGCCTTGAAGGATTGTGTGGTCAATTCTTTTTTGCTCCTGTTACAAATACCGGAGAGTGTTCAAAAGTGGCAATTCCCCTTATAGAATGTTTCTTGACTTTGCTACCAACTATGGTCGGGTCTGCAACTTTCCCACACACCAGACACCCCAGTGATGCCCCACTCAAACTTCCTGGAAGGAACTTGAGGTCTGTTTATTTGCTGTGATAAATCACTGGTAGTCCTTGGTGAAATTTAGCTTGGCAGTTGGATGCAACTTCTATCCCTCTGGGGACACTAAACAGGGCTTAGTGATGGTGCCCCTCCTTGCATTTTCTTCTTCTGTAACAGGGTAAACTGAGTCTGGGCCTCGGTTTTGGAAAGCTGAAAAAAAGATCATTCTAATCCTTCCTCACATGTAGCTGTGGGCTGTCCTGCTGGGGCAAGCAAGTCCAGTTAGGAACTTTAAGGGTTAAATGTCAGAAGCTAAAAGTTTCATGATGGGGGAGACAGGGGGAGGCATTCTACATGTTGACTTGTGCCTGCTGTGGGCATGGGGGACCTCAGGGGCTTTCACATCACTGTTGAAGAAGAGCAGCGAGCGCGCTCTTGTTGATGCTGTGAGCAGACAGATGTCAGGTCTGCAGGCCTCGCTGGGGGATGTGGGGGGCAGGCTGCATCCAGCTCATGGGCACTGGCCGTACCGGGCCCTACCTAGCTGTCCTCAGGGTTCGGGGGTGAAAGCATGGACCTCTGCTAACCCATGCATGCTCACTGGGGAGCTTGGAGAAAGAGATTTCTATTTTCTTAAGGCACTGGTTCTCAAATAGGGGAGCTATTTGGCAATACCTGGAAGCATTTTTTGGCTGTCACCCTGGCGAGAGGGAAAAGCACATGCTACCCACACCTAATGAGCAGAGAGTAGGGGTGCTGTAAATACCCTGCAGACACCAAGACAGTATTCTCCCACACCCGAGAATTATGAGACCCCACATGTCACCCATGTGGCTGCTGAGAAACTGTGGCCTAAGGTGAGACTCTGGAAGAAGGATCCAAGCCAAGAAAGGGCACTGTTGCTGGGTGTGAGCCTGCTTTACGAGTCTCTTCAAAGTTGTTTATAGACCCACATGGAGCAGAGACTCACCCACCTTTTTCTCTCATTTTATTTTACGACACCCCTCCTCCCTCAAAATTACAGATTGTTTTGCCTACTTTTATTTATTTTTATGCCTACTGTTCACTAGAAAGCCAGGACATTCAAAGATGGGGTCCTAGGGTGAGATTTGGGGAACACTACCCCCGAGAATCATGGTCCCCAAAGATTGGGTTGACTTAGAGGTTAGCATCTCCTTAAATCCACCTGACACCGAGTACTACAACAACATGAAAAGCTAAGAAAAAAGATTGGCCCATTTGGACAGAGCAGAAAATTGACTGGTGCACAGCTCAGGAAAACCATCGGCAGCCGTCACGGATGCTAATCCCAGCCTGGTTTTAATCAGGGGCTGCTGGCGCCCACCCTGGGCTCTTTATTCTACTAAAGATTTAAGCCAGTTTGTTTTAAGAAGAACCATACTAATCCCCTCGATTTAACTTGGGCAACTTAATCCTGGTTACTAAGTGACTCAGTGAGCTCAGTGGAAGGCCCTCTTCCCGCCCATAAACACTGAACTTGTTTGAGCTCATTTTTCCTGATGTCCCAAGAAGGTTGTGGCCCTGAGTGGAGATAGAGGAGGTGAGCAGAGAAAGGGAAGGGAGATCACCGTGGTCTGAGAGGCAAGCCAAGTGCAGAGCCAAACCTAGCCAGGAATTAGGTCAAGGCCTACACTTGGGGGCTCTTACTCCTTTCTTATGGGATCGTTGGCTATCTCTCCTCCATGGGCACAGAAAACGGTGGATACAAATATTCCAGAGTCTACGCATGGGACCAGGGCAAGATGCCAAACGTCAAGGGCCGAGGGAACTTTCAGAGATTCATTTTCAAATCCTGGTTGTCAAGCCCACCAGAGGCTGCCCACGGAGCCCGGGGGACCACGCGCGCCCACGCTCTGTCCACTCCCTTTCCTCCGCATCCTCCTCAGGGTCATCATCTGGGGGGCTCCGGCATGGCCAGCTGCTCTCCATACAGTGCTCACGTGTCAGCTCCCGACAAATACTAGCTCAGCAGGGTGTCCTCCTGAGCGTGCCCTGGCTGCTGGCCGGCTGCTGGCCCAGATTCGTGTCCCACACATCAGCAGCCGCACGGTCCCGCCTCTAATCTCGGTCCTGCCCGGGAGCCATAGGGCTGGGGCAGTGGGATAGAGCCACAAAAATGGCCATTTGGAGGAAGAAAGTATGTTAGCTTCCTCCAGGGAAAAAAAAAAAGTTGATTTCTTCAAACCAGCAGAAAACCTGTGGAGGTCCAGCCTCAGCACCCCATTCCCTCCACCAAGGGCCCCTCCTGGGCCCTCCCCGGGGCCCCACCGGCCCCAGGAGGGGACAGAGCGGTACTCACGCTGCTGGGGTGGAGCAAGGGCAGAGGCAGCAGCAGCAGGGGCACGAAGATGACCAGCAGCAGGTTCCTCGCGCGGAGAAGGCTCTTGAGCCAGCCCATCTTGGCGTGCGCGCTGCTCCTCGGTGCAGAAGCTCCAAGGCCTTTGCTCCCGGCGAGGCTGGGACCCGAAAGACTTCTCACACCTTTCTCTGCTTCCAAGAGTCCTCTTGTCTCCGGGCAAACAGGAGCCAGTCACGGCCCTCGTGTGCACAAAAGCCTGGGCTCTCGGCCTTGGGTTTTAGGTGGGATTGGTGAGTACAGTTTTATGCCCAGCAAAAAGGGACGGGGAAAGGATGTAAATGGGGGCATAATGGGTTTCCTCTTTGCTTAGTAATAGAGTAACTTCATTCTAGGGCTCAGCCAAAGCCCCCTTAGCCAATCAAATTCACAACTCTGCCATGGCTGTGTGGCCCTGAAGAAGTCATTTAAAGACATCAAAAAATCAAAAATCCCAAGAGCATGTTGCGCCCTGCATCATTTTTCCTCTTTCTGATGGCCTGTTGTGGGCAGCACCTGTTTCGGTTGCCAGCAGCGTTGGCTGTTGGTAAAAATCTAGTACCCCTACTTCCTTCAAAGCAAGCCCCCCGCGTTTATCAGCAGCAGATGCAGACGTCAGAAGGGGCTGGTCTTCAATCCTATGACCTGGCACCTTAAAACTCAGTTCAACTTTGTTTCCTTCAGATTGGTTTTCCACTTATTATTTGCCTGGATCCTGGGTCTCCAAAGCTGTAAAAAAAAAAATCCCCAAGACATTCCAGTTGTCATGGGACAAAACCCTCCTGGAGGCCCACCTTTAACTTTTATTCACCTATGGGAAGCCAGACCAGGCTGTCGGCCCACCCATTTCTTCCAGCCAATCAGCACATTGGAAAGAATGAGTCACTCTCTCTTTCAAAGGCAGTTCTTGATTGGTCCCAGCAGGGGTCTGCTGATTCTGCACAACCTAGACAACTTGCAAAGCTTATTTTTGTTTCTGCAACTTCGGAGGGCCTGGAGGAATGACTATTATCGAAAACATAATCCCAAATCCCCAGGCCCTGCATTATCGGTGCAGATCTTAGGACAGAGCTTTCCCTGGAATCGTCACTGTGGGTTAGTCCATAGCAAGATGATAATGTTTGGTGGCAAGGAGAAAATGGAATATTCATTCTGGAGAGGATACAAAATAGTAAGACTTCCCTGGTGGCAAGCTCCTTTGCCTTGGCACCTGGGCAAACATGCATTGAAACCAGCAGAAGGTATTTGTAAGAAAGATCACAGACCTTTTTAGGGAGAATGGGAAGGGGGTTGCCTCTCTGGAAAAGTCTACATGTTGGGTTCATTTCAGATACCCCTGGAATGCAGGTCTCATGGGTCTTTCTGGCAGAAGAGAGTGCTCAGTTGCTTTTCTTTGGGGCTCTTTCGCAAGAAAAGAAACAGAAGGCTTCCTTTGGCAGGTCTGCAGGGAAGAGGTTGGGGAGCAGGGATATAGTTGCAAGTTCAGGGACCCTGCTTTGGCAGTGCTTGCACTCTGGAATTTCTGCTGCTTACAGATCTGGAGACACTGGTAGTTTTTTTTTCCTCAGGGCATGTGATTTGGAGCAAGGAAGAAAAGGGGGGAAAAAAAGAAAGAAAACTCCAAATGTTCTAGAGATGGTAGTCTGGGCAGAGCATTGCTTTGATCCAAGAGATACTGAGCAGTGTCGAGGGTTATGAAATCCACCTGTTCTTGAATTCACAGAATGCCAGGAATGTCTATCTAAGGTCTGCCTTGCAAGGTCTGCTGCTCTACCAATTAGAAATATCCCCAGGCTAAAGGTAAAGTCACCAGAGAAGTGACTCCAACAAAACCAGTTCTTCTTGCCCTTTGAGGCTGGGGTAACCATGGTAGACCCATCCCCATTGAAATTATCTTGCTGTTGACTCATTTCTTCAGATGCATGTCAAAGACTGGCTACCATATTTACTGCATCCAGGTGTCATTTTTGTGATGATTTTGAACTCAGAATGAACAATATCACTTGTGTGATGTTTGGGTGGCCAATATTACAGAGTCTGTGCAGTAATAAACCACTGTGGAAGTCAGCATCCACCATTAAACCCATGAGCCACTTCAAATTCCTTGGTGAGATAATCTGAGATGACAAAGATTCCATGGAACCAGGCAGCTCCATCATAACATTTTTATTGCACCATAAATGAAAATTTGTTAAATAAGATTAGGTAAGACCAGTAGTTCTCCTTCAGGACTCTATCTGTGGATATTTTCAGATGAAGAAAGTATTTTCCAAAATACAATGCTTAAAAGGTAAGACAGATCCCACTTACATGAGGTATCTAAAGCAGTCAGACTCTTAGAAACAGAAAGTAGATGGTAGGTGCCAGGGACTGGGAGGGGGAAAGGGAATTGCTCTGTGGGTGTAAGAGTTTCATTTTTGCAAGATGAAAGCGTTCTAGAGATGGGTTACACAACAGTGTGCATATAGGTTAACATTCTTGGACTGTACATTTAAAAATGGTTCAGATGGTCAAATATATGTTGCTCCCTCCTGCAATAAAAATGTAAGGCATTAAAATCAGTCAGAAAATAAGGAACACCAGCAATCAAAAAAGATAAACACATGCAATTTGCAGCAACATGGATGGCGCTGGAAGGGATCATGCTCAGCGAAATAAGCCAGAAAGAAAAAGAAAAATACCAGATGGTCTCACTCATAGCAGGAATCTAGAAAACTTAAATAAGGGACCAGGAACAAGAATAACTATAAGAAAGAAAAAATCAACAAATGACTATGAACCAGAGACACACTATTGGGGGGCGGGCGGGGAAAAGAGGGATTGGGGTCAAAATAAGGGGGTTGCAATTGTATGGGGAATATAAAAATTAAAAAAAAAGAAAAAAAAAAAGAAAAGAAGGAGCACCATAGACAGTCACTGAGAAGCATTTACTTTTAGCTGGTTTACCTATAGAAATACCTTCTGCCTCATTTACCACTTGGGTGATTCCCTCGTACATTCAAGGTGAAATGACAGGCAATGGAAGTTTCAGCACAGAGTTTTTCAGTGTCTCTTGAGAAATATCAGAGGTAGCCCTGAGCTGCCAACTGTAGAGGAAATTTCCAGAAATTCTAGATTCTGCAATTTGCCCAGCAGTCTAGAAACGGCAAGATGGTTGCGTATGTCATTGGCAAGTTTCTGCTGCCAACATCACACCCCAAATTACTCTGGCTATGAGCAGCTCCGAGAAAGGGTGACTTGGTTGTGACCTTGCAAGGCATTCATGGGACAGAATAGGAGGGTCCTTTTCTGGTCAGTGTATACTCTACGCTTTACTGGGGGAAGATTTGGGTGGTGAGCAAGTATTTGACTTTGTGTGCAAAATGAATTCATTATTATAAAACTTTTTGTGGGTAAAGAATTACTTTATGCTTAGATGAAAATAGTGTTTCAGAACCTAGGGACTGAAAGGGTGCTTTTCATTTGTTTTTTAAAAGGTCATGCCTTCTGAGCGCTTTCGAAGCTTTGCTTTTTTTTTCTCAGTGTGCTTCAATTCATACTGTACACAGTTTGGCCATGCCTTCTGAACATAAACAACCAAAAATGCCTTTAGATCTTTGTTGCTTTGGGAATGAGCTACCGTTGCTGCCACTGGCCCTGGGAACCAGCCTCCCCATCACTGGGACCACTGTCTACACTATGATGTGGTAGGCAGGGCCGGGGGGGTGGGGGGCTGTCAACGGTGGGTCTTTCGGCACCGTGACTGAAAGAACATTCTCAGATCCACTCAACGGGAGTAGTTCCAGGCTGGGATGCGATTCTGAATGTCCGGGATTTACAGTGTCTAGGGACCGAGTCCCTGCGGGCCCCCTCACTCCTTGCTGTACCAGCAGCAAAGGGAGACCACGCGGCGAATCTGGTTTCCGACCCTCCCTGTACATTGACCTTTGTGTTAGTCAGCCAGTGACACCCAGAGGAGACCGGGAGCTGGAAAATCAGCGCAGGCAGACTGAGGCCGACTGAGCCACAGGCAGCCGAACGGGACTCAAGAAACGGACAGAGATCATCGGAAGTGGGTTGGCAGGGGAGCAGAGACAGCAACTGAGAGAAAAAGGAAAGAACGAGACGAGTTCAGTGAGCGTGTCAGGAGAACATCCACATTAGGAAGAGAAGGATTGAACAAAAAGCATCGATCGGTGGCTGTGTTTGAAGGGGGTGAAAGGCAGTCTACAAGGGAAAGCGAATGAGAGACACCGCGCTTCATCTTCTGAGCCTGAGAACATCAGAATGCAAAGGTGTTTTTTCTCCGATGAAGACTAACTTCTTCCTGTACCCTAGTATTTTCCAAAAAGATCATGCAGGCTGTGCCGTGAGGCAGAGCTCCCTTGTTCAAAGATTAAAGTAAGTCAGGCCGGCTTTCGTCATCATGGGATGGCAGCTTTTAAATACCCATTTCAGAATCCATTTGAGCTCAGTGAATCCCGCCCCATTCAGAGGTCAGACTTCTTGAATTTGTAGCCTCCAGGACCAGCTGTAATCCTAGGAGAAGCCAGAAAACTGAGCTGGTGAGGACCCTATGACACCCCAGGTGCTTTCCTCCTGGCAAAGCCTGTATCTATGAACTCTGACTTAGCACAGAATTGGAACAGGCCTAGTTATCTTGCTTTTTAGGTGATCATAGCTACGATCAAGTTAATCCACCAAGCGCGAGTTATATGGGAAACAAAAACGCATTCTAGAAGCCTGGTGTGAGGAAGGCAGCAGAAACTCACAGTGGACACAGAATCAGCAAAACTGGGGACCTTTGGGCCCAGCAGACCACGTGGGGCCGGAGTCCACCCTGCAACATCTCACAGTTAAATCTGGACATTCAGAACAGGAGCAGCCTAGCGATCTCATCTTAGCTAATTCCTTCCTTAAAATGTTGCAAATGATCTTAAGATTCAAATCAAAGCTTTAGCATTGCATCTGCATTGCTCAAAAAGAGGTCAAGGCAGTATTGCTAAGGTCAAAGTGTTGGCATCCGAAAGGGCAGAGTGTTGTCTTCTGGAATCATGTTTATTTGCTGCACTTCCTTCTCGGCTGGCGCTGGAGGACTTAGCATTAGGACGGCAGGCATGGGGGTGGGTGGCACCTGCTTCATGAGGGTGACCCTTGCTTTCTCTGCTCAACGCACAAAGCATGACTGTTGGGAGCATTTCTGTGACCCCTGAGTTGTCTCCTCCACGTTAGATCAGCCTTCAGGAAAGAGGAACTATAACATCTAGGTCCTAAGTCACTGACATTCTAGCTGATCCTTCTTGGTGGCTTTTGCAATGGCTGAGAAGCGTGCCCGCGGCTAACAGGGTATTCCTGGTCTATAGCCCTATTTCTTTATGTCTTAACCACAAAACCTTGGGACAAAAGTTCTTTCAGCCCAACACCCTGGCCCCTTAGGACCAAAGATCTGCCCCCCACAACCCTCCATGCCCACACCTCTGTGAAGTTTCCTCTAGCTCTGTCCCTCCTCTGGGTGTTTGTGGCCATACCCAGTGTTGGAGGCTATCTTAGCCTCCTGTGTGTCGCCAGGGGAGCCTTTCTGCCTCTGGAAGCATCTTGAATGACCACTCCAGCCCCTTCTTCCAGCCCAGGTCCCGAATGGCATGAATCAGATGCGCTCACCAGGAAGCACAGGTGCAAAGAGCATGGGGACCACCTGTTTGATCCCTGCTCCTCTGAGTTGGTAGCTTGTGGTTCGCTGCTGGTGCAGGCAAGGGGTCCAGGCAAGGGGAGTTGGAATGCAGAATTTCGGGATTACAGCATGTGCGGGTCCCTGATCTGCCGTCCAGGCGCCTGCCTGTCTCTGGGGCCTGAGGACCGCGCCAGGTCCTGCCTCAGGGCCTGGAAGAGGCTCAGGAGGGACTGAGCCCAGACGTCCTTCTGGTGGCCCTGGGACAGGGCTGTGCGGTAGGCCACGTAGGCCAGTGTCAGCGCCGTCCTCTCAAAGTCCTCTTTCCTGAGGATGCCCGGGCGCTGGGCGAGGCTGGCGCTCAGCCGGCGGATGTCAGGGATGCGCTTGGGGATCACGTTGTTGCAGACGGCGTGGAAGGCCGAGGCCTTGCGCAGGGAGGCAAGCTCCTCGTCCTGGATGGAGATCTGCAGGTCCGGGCCGACTTTAAGTTCAGCCAGCAGGAACTGTGAGAGACATGGTGCGGAAAGACAGAAAGCATCAGCGCTGCTGAAGGCACACTGTAGCCGTCATCACTGCCCTTCCTTTAGGGAGGCCGCCATGGCAAGAGCGCTGGAATCTGAGCCCTGGGTCCCACTTGCTATTTCCCTGTTTGCTGTGTAAACTTTGATTAGTTACTTAACTTCTCTGAGCCTCAGTAGCCTCCTCTGAAATGGTTAGTGATGATTATCCACTGGGATTTTGTGAGATGTAAACAAGACAAATACGGACAACATCAATACAGTGTGTGGCCCAAAGCCACTATGCAAGGGACCTCTGTGTCCCCTGTCAGTGCCTCTCCTCTTTCTCCCTCCCCCCCACCAAAGATCTTCTAAAGCATGAACTGCTTTGGATACATTTTAATCAAAAGCTGGGAATTTGAAAGATGTGGGAATTAAGTGGGAGACATATTTGTCTTCATCTCTCACCTTTTCTTTAAAAATAAGGGGGAGGGAGCCTCCCTGGTGGTTCAGGGGTTGTCTTAGCACTATGAAGCTATCAGCAGCCACTGCAGCATGAGTTCGATCCCCAGCTAGGGAGCTACCCACATGGCGCAGCAGACCTCTCCTGTCTCGCCCGCTGCTCCCCTTAGCAGTGCATTTCACTCAGTCTGCCTGTTCTGCTCCCCACTCTGTCTCTGGTGGATCCTCTCACCCCACCCAATACACCTCTGGCCTACACCCCAGTTCTTGTATGCATAAATTAAAAAAAATTTAAAAAATAGGGGTGGTGCCTTGGGGTCTGCCTCTCTCCCCTGCTTAGCGCCAGGCTCACATTAGGCACCTGAAAAAACCTTGCATTCAGGGTGCTAGCTCTTCTCTCTGTCTCCAGGATTCTCTGGCTCGAATCCATCCTGCACGCCACTGTATTCTTTCTAAAACTTGGGTCAGTTTCACTTGGGTCAGTTTCACATGATTCTCATGTCCAACATTCGGCAAACACAACCCATTTTCTAGTTTGTTCTTCAGGATTAGACCCCTTGCACAGGCCCACTGCTCGGCTACAGTAGGCCGATTCTGACTTAGCAGGACAGTTCTCACGTGTGGAGGAAGTCAGAGGATGCCAAAGCTGGAGAGGAAGTTTGGAGACCATGGTGGTGCCTTGTTGGAGGAGGCCACCCTGAGTAGTGAGCAAAAGGGCCTTGACCCGAGTCTCTAAGGCATGTGAAAACACATGCGTCTCGGAGGAAAACCTCTGAGTGACAGGACTTGGTGTTGAGAGCCTGGAAAGTGACCTGTGTGGAGTCGGGCTTCTACATCTCCATAGTCTGAGAATAACAAAATGGAGAGACCCTGCGCAGTGAGCAGAAGGGCCTTGACCCGAGTCTCTGAGGCATGTGAAAACACATGCGTCTCCGAGGAAAACCTCTGGGTGACAGGACTTGGTGTTGAGAGCCTGGAAGTGAACTGCGTACATCTCCACAGTTTAACAACAACAAAATAATGAGCGAAATTCCCAGGCTCTGGCTAGGAGGCGATAAGATTATGTGTGTGAGAACTAACCGCCTGGTACCCTACTGTAAATAGATAATAGTAAGAAAATAGATTAATCACTCATACATGTTATCATTATGTGGTATGCTTTGATGTTACACCTGCTACAATTAAAATAGTATATCATGAGTACTAAGACAATAAAGATTTGCTGCATGCTGGACATGACAGTCCCCCATGTCTGATTTCCTTCACCGTCGCGTTCCAGGTTCGGACTCACTGGAAGTCCACAGTGCCTCACTTGAGGAGCTTCAGGCCCAGAGGGAAATGATGGCCAAGCGAGGCAGGCAGCTGGTGAGGGGCTGAGCCGGGACCAAAGCTCAGATCTTGAACCAGGGCTCTGACCTCTGAAGTGAACTGTTCGGCCCTAGGAAACTTACCTGTTGTTTGAGGCGTGGGGTCTCAGTGATGGAGGTGTGGGAGGCTGAGGAAGAGAGCCTTTGGAGTGACCCTAGACTGTCAGGAATGGAGCTGTCACAGATGCAGGACGGGAGACGCAGCTCCACCTGGACAACCACCTCGACACTGCCTGGACTCCAAGGACGAGCCCCACCTCTGAGCCTCGCCTGGGGATGCTGCCCCCCTCCACTGTGTGGGTCGCAAAGCCACGTCTGCCAGAGCTCTCGTTTTCCTGGACTGTGCTCCTAATGCCATCATTCTGTGTTACATCGCGCGGGGAAGGAGAGAGGGTCTGGAGGGATACCTTGCTTTGGGATTGCAGGGTTCTACAGCGCCCCCCACCCCGTTGGTTTAGCCTGTCCCTATGGGACAGTGACCTGATTCACTTCTCATCTGAAAAAGAGAGGGTGCAGCACCTTCTGGGGGACTTGACTCAGACACCTCCCCTCTGCCTACCTCAAAGAGCAGCTCTACTTCCTCCAAGGAGGTCTGCAGGATGGGGTTCAAGGTCATCGATGAGGATCTCTTCGGCCGGTGTGCCACAGGGAAGAGCGGGGCTGCAAGAAACCAGAGTGAGTTCACACGTTCACCTCCAGGTGAGCCAGCTGGTGGCAAAGTGACTGACTCTGAATGGGCACGGCCTTGCGGTGGACGTCACGGTGGCGGAGGTGACACACCTGCCCCTGAACACCTGAGTGTGGCTGGGGGAACGCCAACCCTCTTAAGTGGTCTCACTCTGTGTTTACGATCACCATTCTCACGTGGACCCTGGCATCCTGCCTGCATCTCCCGACCCCTCTCTCCAGTTCACTGTGACAGAGAGGATGGTTTCATCCTTCTACGCCCGCCCTGGTCTCGGTCCCTGCCTCTTGCCCCGACACCGTCATCTGCTATTGTGTCCATGCTCCTTCTAGAACCAGCCTTTCCACATGTGCATAAATCTGTAAGAAAGGCTGCAGGGGCCTCCCTGGTGGCACAGCGGTTGAGCGCTGGGTTGCGAAGCTGCCCGCGGCCTCCGCGGCGCCGGTTCGATCCCCGGCTGCTCCCCGGCCACCAGAGGAGGGTCCCGCATGGCGCGCAGACCTCTCCTGCTGCCCGCTGCTCCCTCAGCAGTGTACTTCGGTCCTTCTGCCTGCTCTGCTCCCCGCTCTGGCTCTGGTGAATTCTCTCACCCTCCTGCGCTTCTGACTGTGCCCAGTGCTTGTATAAATAAATAAATAAATAAATAAATAAATAAATCTTTAAAAAAAAAAAAGAAAGGCTGCAACCTTTCCCATATCTTTACTTTTTGCCTCTCGACTGGGTCTTGCATGTCGGCAGGAACACATGTCGCCGCTTCTGTTTATAAAAAGAATCGTCCTCGCTGCTGCTCTTCCCTCCCATCCTCACCTCGCGGCCGCCTGGCTCCCCGGCGCCTCCCCGGCCTCCTGGCCACACTCACTCCAGACCGACTTCTGCTTTGTTCTTCCTGCCCACGTCTGCGTCTCCAGCTGCCTGGGGGAAGCTGCCTCTGGACTTGTGGTTGCTTTTTCTCCTGACTCCCATCCCCAGTACTAACACACACACTCACAACTCACACACACACACACACACACACACACACACCCCTCCAGTCACACACACCTGCTCACATACATGTATAGACAGACCTAAACCCACTCTCGGCGCACACATAAACACACACCCTCACACATAAGACACAAACACACGTGTTCATGTACCCCCCACGCCTGCCCTCACCCCTACGCTCACATACACACATACACACCTGCTCACACATATATATAACGTGTGCACACAGCACCTCTCGCTGTGTCTGCTGTCTTCCTCTCCGCCTCATCGCTCAGACCGACATCCCCCATCCAACTCCAGTCAACATGTCTTGTCAGCTCTACCTGCCAAGGTGTTGGGATTCTGGCTTCCTGCCACATCCCTGCCCGGGCCCACTACGCGTCTCAAGCTTCTCTCCCAGTGCTGTCTCTGCTTCCATCCTGCTGTCCACCGCCTTCCTCCTCAGCACAGCATCTAGGTGATTCTGTGAACACCTAGTTCAGACAGTGTCACTCCTCTGCCCAGGAACCTTCTATGGCCTCCACCTCACTCAGAGGAAAAGCTGAAGATCTGTAAATGGCTCCTGGGCACTACAAGACTTGACTTCTTACTGCCTCTCTGAGCTTGTCTGCTATTCGCTCCTGGCTCCTGCTTCCTCAGCCACAGCCTGCCTCCCCCTTGTTCTTTGAGCACACCAGCCATGTTTCTGCCGCAGGATATTTGCCGTTGTCTTCTTGCTGCCTGGAATACTTTTCTTACGGAGACTACATGGCTCCCTTCCCTGCGTCCTTCAGGCCTTTAGTCACCTCCTCAGGGAAGCCCTCCCTGATTACCCTATTTAAAATTATAATCCTCTATAACCTCTCCCTGACCTATTGCCATCTGATGATATACATGTTTATTGTCTGTTTCCCCTTACTAGAAGCTAACCCCATGAGGGCTTGGGGTTTTGTTTACTGCTGTATTCCCAGGCCTAGCTTCATGCCAGGACTGTTGAATGAATAAATGATCCCATATAAACACATTTCCTGCCCCTATCACTATACTCCATTCTGTATCTCACTAAATTCTCTTTTGAACAGGGTGTTTCTAGAATTTGTTTGTATTTCTATGTCCTGGATAATTATCAGAAAGTAGTCTTGTTTCCTGCCTCCAATAGGCACAATTTTTATCTCTGGAGAGCCCCTCTTCTGGCTGGCAGGAGCTACTTTTAATGCTCCAAGTGGAGACTGACACCTGTCTCCCCACACCTTAGCCTCTTCAGGCTTTCTTGGTCAGATGTAGAGCCAGAAGGCTCCCCACAAGGGAGACCTGACTCTGCTTTGCAGCCCGACATACTCTTCGACTTTTTATTATCAGGGATAAAAATCTCTTCTTCTGGGCTTCCCTGGTGGCGCAAGGGGTTAAACACCGCACTATGAAGCAATTCGCAGCCTCTGTAACATGAGTTCAATCCCCGGCCAGCCAGGGAGAAACCCACATGGCGAGGCAGACCTCTCCTGTCACGCCCGCTGCTCCCCTCAGCAGTGTACTTCAGTGGATCTGCCTGTTCTGCTCCCCACTCTGTCTCTGGTGAATCCTCTCACCGCCCCCCTCCCTCTGCCACCCCATATCTCTGGCCTGTACCCCAGCTCTTGTATGCATAAATATTTAAATCTTTAAAAAAAAAATCTCTTCCTCCTCCCACCCCCAAAATCTGCTCCCTCCAACAGAGCAGTGTTCAGGCTGACTGCAGTTTCCATGTATCTGTCCTTATGGGTACCAAAGAGCTGGTTGGGTAGGATTCAAACTGCAGACCATATTCAGCCAAAACTACAACCATATTTTTAATGAATCAGTTGAAGCAACTCTGTGGAAACGACCATGGGTGTGGAAAGGAAAAGCTCTTGTTTATAAAAGCTCTTATGCCAGGCGCTACTGATGTCATTGGGTTTTTTTGCTCCGGGGCCAGCCTGTTAGAAACACAGCGACATTCTGTGTGAGCCTGGAGCTTGGCCCTTCGTATTGGGGGTGGGGGGCAGCAGTGCTTCTGAAAGGGCTGCTGAGGGCTGGCCCCTCTTGCTAAGATGCCCCAGATCCCCGGGGTGCTCAGCTGTTGGGAAGGGTTGGAGGGGGATGGAGAGGGAGGAGGAAGGTGAATGGGGACTTCAAGGTGCTAAGGTGCTTTCGATGGCTGGGGAGTGGGGGTGGCGTGGGAGGTCTCAAAATCCGGCTCTACCCTTTCACCTGAGCTAGACACATTAACTTGAACATCCTCAGTGTCCTCACCTGCAAAGGGTCAGTCTGGCCTGCCTCTGGGAGTTTCTGGATTAAACCGGGTGGAGTAAGCTGGGGTGCTCAGTAATGCTATCCCAGTTATCAGTACTTATTGAGCACTGAGCACAGAAGCTTCCCCTCATGGAACATTCCAGAATGAACCCAGATAACATTAAAATGGGTCCTGAGAATGACATAGACCCCACCAGCTCTCTGAAGGGTCAGTCTTCCCTACCAAAACTGCTTAATAAAGATGTAGATTTTATACATTTACTAGAGCATAAAATTAATACATCTATATTAATTAATACGTGTGTGTTTTAAAACTGGCTGCTTCCCCCAGCCCCCAGGTGCTCCCGCAGGGCCTGGCCCTCAGCCAGCTGGATCGGGTCAGGGCTAACCACAGGTGAGTCATTTGGCCTTAATCAAGTCGTGGGCCGGGACCAGGATCCTGGCGGTTCATGGAGCCGCCTCCCAGGGTGGAATCCTAGAGAGCGCTTTTCTGACGCAGAACTGGGAGAAGGGTAGGCAGAATGCTGGCCGACAGCAGGGTGTATTCTTTTGGGGTCTCTTTCTATATTTGTATGTTTGGATGGAGAAGGTGGAGGCAGGGGGCTGGTGAGGGAGTGTGTGGGCCCAGGAGGGCTGGAGGGGCAGATGGAGGAGGCGGATCTTGTAGGGAGAGGTCAGTCGCTCTCCGGCTGTTTTTTCTAAATTACTGGATTTTTAATTAGGGTAATCATTGGATACCCCCATCAGGTATCACCACCACCAAATCACCATAGTCCACCTTCGCAGTCAGGCGGCTTCCTTCCCCCCTGGCTGTTTGCAGAGGGCGGTCTCCTCAATTAGGCCTGGAGGTGGGGGTTGGGGGGAGACAAAGGTGAGCAGGGCAGAGCATTTGGAAATGTATTTTATTTGGGTGTGACTCCTGTTCTGTCTTTTAAAAAAGATGGCATTTGTGTAGTCTTTCAAAACTGGGAAAAAATGTTAAAAATGGAAAACGCCAGCGACCTGGAGGGCTTTTGCTGCTGGTGGCGGCGCCAAACCCAGACTCTGAGCCCCCACGTGAGCCTTTCATCTCTTACTTAACACCAGCTGCACCTGGGCTGTGCAGTGTGGGCTTGTGGTCTTTACCTGGTTTGTGAGTTTACTGGGGCTCGACCTTCCCCAGTGAAAAGCGGGTGTGGCTCCTCCCCACAAATTGCTATCACATCCTCTGCTGAGTATCTCCAACTTTCTTTGATGAATTTTTTCCATATTTTAAATGGCTAACATTTCTATACCGCCTTATCATTTCCAAAGCCTCTTCTCTATACTTTTGAATATGACTCTCATCACAACCCCGGGAGGGTAAATTATGCTGTTAATGTGATGCCCTTTAGCGAATTAAAGCTCCCGAGAGGTTTAAAGGGGGGGCAGGAATCACCCAGCCTGTTGGAGGCAGAATTTTAAAATCCCAGTTTGAACCAGAATTCCTAGCTGGGGGGCTCACAAGCTGGCTCTCCCAGTTTATAAATCCAGTCATCTCTTTCTGCTTTACGGCAGCCAGTGTGTTAGGAGGAGTGGATGGTATCATCTTTTTTAAATAGGCAAATTAAGGACGCCTGCACTGTCCTTCAGGGCTTCCTGTTCTCTACTCACAGCTTTGCCCCCCAAGTCTGTGCACATGGTGAGCAGGGAAGGGTGTGTATGTGTAAAGAAAAAGAAAAGAAAATGCTCATTCATCATTTGCGTCTGGGCAACAACTATGTCACAGTCTAGCTCCGAGGAATGGCAAGTCTTTAATCTCAGGCTTAAAAATGAAGGAAAAAGCCCCAAGTACATGCAGCGACTGCTGCCTCCCCCATTCCAGGTCTGTCTGGACTGGGTCCCACACTGGCCGTTCCTCCTTCCCTGACAATTCCTTGAGAGCCGGGAGACTCATCCCCAGGCCTCTACGCCAGGCTTCATCCTGCCGTGGCTCTCTAGAAATACCTACAAGCCCGATGTCTTTTTCTGGTTCTTTCTGGGAGGAGACCTCAGTTGACTTTAGGCAGTGGAGGGGCTGTATGGCTCTCTGTGGGCCCCTCACTCCCGACGGGGATAAGCTCCAACTGGCTGGGGGAGCATCTACCATGCCCAGGCCCGGCCTCCTGCTTGGGTTGCCCAGGTGGCGGGCCTTGTCCTCCCAGCACCACCGTCCCCTTGTGTTAGCTTCAGGCTGGGGCGCCCACACGTCCTGCACACCCGCCCAGCTGCAGGGATCAGGGGTGTCTAGGCGGCGGAGGTGGCTGGACTAGGGCATGTGGGAAAGGATGCCCTCTGCCTGCTGCACCTCGGCGGCTTTGATTTCTTTCCATGTCATTTCCCCATCAGCTTCCACAGCCAAGAAGCATAAAGCCATTGGCAGGGAGGAGATAAAAGGCGAGCACAGGACTTTGCATTTCCTCCCCTCCCCCTGCCTTCCCCCAGACCCAATTCCTAATTACACTGAAAGGGGATCAAGCCAACAAGTACATTCAATGCCACTCACCCCTGTTCCACCGCTGGGGCACCGTGGCCTGAGCATCGTAACACAGCAGCAGAAGCAGCAATGTCTTCCAACACATCTTTTCCTCCAAAAGATGAAAGGGCACCCCCAAGCCCAGGGGGACCCGGGAACTACAGGTAAGTTCGCAGGGTCGTTGGGGGGCAATACGTGAGTTCTTAGCACCCCTCCCTGTCAGCAGGGCAGGACACCAGCTCCCGCGTCCCCTCGGGAGGCTGGAGGCAGACGCTGCCTTCTGGGGGTCCTGGCGTGGGGACCTCTGCTAACCCGACTCTCTGCGGGATTGGGGACTGGGTTTCCACAGAGAGACTCTGTTTTTGAGCACATCTGGGGTGACTCACCAGGGCATGTGATCTCCTTGGCAGGGTGATGGATAAATATAATTTCTGTACTTGAGTTCCATGTGTTGGATGCACCCACTGGAATTTTTCTTTAACAAACAGACTCTCGGAACTTGTTAGAGAGCCAGGCCAAGAGCTGGCGGCTGTCCCCGTCCCCACACACATCAGAGCCAGGGTGAGGGCTGCAGGAAGAGCTGGGAGGCAGGCCTGGCAGAGCAGTGGGTGAGGGATCCCAGAGTTGCCTTCAGGACAGTAAAGTCCCTTGTCTTCCCCTGGAGGTGGGCCTGGCGGGGGCCTCAGCCCCGGTTCTGCCTGGGTTGGGAGTTGGCAGGTACCATGAGGTCTAGGTTGTGCGTGTAGGTAATGGCGCACAGGTGGCCTTTCACATTCACCACGGCCTGCGTTCTGGACTGTCTGCCCCTGGGGCCAAACCTCCTTGATTCTCCCAAGACAATATACTTATTTTGGGGTGAATAATTCATTTTTCAAATTGAGATGTAATCGACATCTTGTGTAAGGTCAGGATGTGACACGTTGGTTGGATGCATTTGCGTAGTATTGGCGGTGCATTGATTGGTGTTGCGTTTGACTCTGTCGCGTCACATCATTATCACTTCTTTTTCGTGGTGAGCACATTGAAGAACCATAATCCATTTTTAAAGATCTGATAAAGAAACCTGATTTTGTCCTTGTCTTCTCTGAAACTACAGATGTGTAATGGTAAATCTTTTTTTCTCCCTACTTTTTAAAAAAAAATTTATTTTTTTTAAACAGTATTTGCTTCCCCCCACCCCCTCAGGTGTAGTCCCCATAGAATTTCCTTTTCCAAGGCACCCGTGCACCATCACCTCAGTCCCCTGGGCTCCTCCCTGCCTCCCTCTGATCCCTCTCCCGCCTCCTCCCCTGCAGGATGTCTCTGATTTATAATTGTCTGTTTTTGCTTTGTTGTGTTTTGTACTGTTGTTATTCTTTTTACACTGATGTCTTATTTGGTTCCCTTATATTCCTGTTATGTGAAACCATCCAATATTTTTCTTTTTCCTTCTGGTTTATGTCACTGAGCATAATTCCTTCTAGCTCCATCCATGTTGCTGCGAATGGCATGAGTTTATCTTTTTTGATTGCTGACTAATATTCCATTGTGTGTATATACCACGTCTTCTTGATCCAGTCATCTATTTTTGGGCATTTGGGTTGTTTCCAGGTTTTGCCTATTGTAAATAGTGCTGCAGTAAACATAGGGTTGCAGATGTTCTTTTGAATCACTGTTTTTGTGTCCTTTGGGTAGATCCCTAGTAGTAGAATTGCCGGGTCGTATGGTAGCTCCATTTTCAGTAGACTGAGGAACCTCCAGACAGCTTTCCATAGTGGCTGGACCAGTTTGCACTCCCATCAGCAATGCAGGAGAGTTCCTTTTTCACCACATCCTCACCAACATTTGTTGTTGCTTGTTTTTTTGATTTGTGCTATGTAATGGTAAATCTTAAAGGACATTTAAAGAAATTCTAAAAATGAAAATTTTTTATTGGCGTGACTTCGTATTATAACATCATATAAATTTCAGGTGTGTATCGCTAAGGCTGAGCAGGTTATATTAATTTGCCGCTAATGTCCAGTTTTGTCCTTACCCGCACTGTTGTTCCCTTTATTAAAGGACATTTTTTCAAAAAGATTTATTTGTTTATGCATACAAGAGTTGGGGTACTGGCCAGAGATGCGGGGGGTGAGAGGATTGAGCAGAGACAGAGTGGGGAGCAGAACAGGCAGACTGACTGAAATACACTGCTGAGGGGAGCAGCGGGCGAGACAGGAGAGGTCTGCTGTGCCATGTGGGTTGCTCCCTGGCCCTCTGGGGATTGAACTCATGCTGCAGTGGCTGTGGATAGCATCATAGTGCTGTGCTGAACCCCTTGTGCCACCAGGGAGGTCCAAAAAGGACATTTAAATGTGGTTTAACCCCATGGGTCTCCGGTCTGGAGTGGTGGCAAGGGTAGATGGGCAGGGGAGAGGTGACTTCAGGATTTCCTCTGCTTCTGTCAGACTCTGCTTTTATCTGTTATGAGACGGTGCTTGGGAAAACAAAATGGCTATAAAAACCCCACTGATTTCACTAATATTTAATGCAGTATTGGGTTGCCGTGCTAGGTGTTCTTCCTGTGTCAACGCTTGCACTAAGCTGTGAGGCCATGCAGAACAGCCCTCCCCCATTGAAACACATTGAGGGCCTGCCCCTCTAGAACCAGTTTGCTAGTAAGCCACTTTGACATTTTATTTTGCTCAATGACAAGTGAGTGGGTAAAGGAAAAGTGGTATATGAACATAGTGGAATACTACTCAGATAAAAATGATGACCTCCTGACTTATTATAACATGGATGGAACCAGAGGGGATCATGCTAAGGGAAATAAGCCAAGGAGAAAGCCTTGATTTCATTCATAAGTGGATCAGACAAAACTAAACAAGTACTTAGAACTGACCTGCAGAACTGAGGTTCCAGATGGGTGGAGGAAGAAGCCCAGTGGACTGTGGTGGAGGGTTTTTAGTGCTTTGGTGGTGGTTATGGTAGCAGATACCTGAAGATGTAAGGCTGTGCTCCCAAAACATCTGCCATGTTGTACCCCAGTGTTAGCTCAATGAAACAAAACATTTCGATCTCCAGTCTGCAAACAGATGATTTTATGACAAAGCTCTGTTTCTATCTTGTTTAGAGAAGAGAGGAGTAATGGATTTTTAACAGTTAGGGCTTTTGTGTGAAGCTTCACGCCCTGCCCTCTGGCTCAGCATCCAGATTCTGAGTCTTCTGAAGTATCCTCTGTACAGCCAGCACCTTCAGGCTGGATTCTATTTTGAGGCTGAAAGTGAGGTAATTTAGTCTGACAACAGAAACACAGCTGTAATTATGGAGTACCAGTGTCCAAAGTGGAAAAGCCTTGGACCCTTGAGGGCTGCCAACAGAAATGACTCAGTTGTACATGCGTCCTGGTGCCTGGCCAGGCCAGGACGTCCTTCGGCAACGTAGAGGTCCCCTGTGCATGGAGAAAAAGAACATTCCTATAATTCAGCTCCTGTGTCATGATGTGAGGTCTGAACATCCAGTTGTTGCCAGCTCCGCCAGCCAGAACAGTAATGCTGGGGAGGAAAGGTCAGGCCCATCACTGCATGGGCCGGTGGAACAAAATGGGCCAGGTTGTGCTGGTGGCAATATTGCAAAGTCCAGGCTGCCTGGCTTCTGAAGCTGGTGCACGTGTCACTAAAACATCTGCCTGCAATCGGTTTGACTATAGACCAAATGGCTGCATAATCCATATTCCAAATATAAGCACCTATCTTGGGAAGGGCAGAGAGATAAAGAAGCTGCATTTTTTATTTGACTTGCCCAGGTTGGAATCTTTGTTTTTCAGGTTTAAAATCACCTTTAAAATCATTGCACCTTGGCTTCTTGTTTTTGTTGGGTTGTTGTTGTTTTGTATTTTCAGGGAGGTTGCTAAAATAGGGACACAGCAAGTATGGAGATTTAGCTGGAACAAATTTTTGCTGTTCACATTCATCATTTAGACTTTCTACCTTGACAAATGATGCTACTAATTCTTCTCTCAGAAGCATCTCAGTTGTCTTCAGAGTGCAAGCATTAGCTGGTTTCCACTATATTCAAACCACTGTGGGGAATTGTCTTCTTGGAAATTACTGTTTTTTCCTTCTTTGGGCAGAGAAACTGCCAATCCATTTCTGCAGAAGCTGAACTGGAAGGGCATCTTGTGGTAGATTTAGAAATTATATTTGCTAAGCAGATATAAAACAGGTAGGAGAATGGAGAAAAGATGCAAAATTATTTATTTGAGAAGCCATCTTTTGGTGTGAAAAGCACTGGGGAGAAAGTATAATTTGTACAAGGAATTACAGGGTATTCTTGGAGGAAAGGGCTGGATATTCACTTCATCAGTCAGGATTTCCAAGGTTCTGCTGCTTTAACAAATAATCCCACAGTTTCCATGACAATAAATATTTGTTTCTCCCTCATACAACACTTCATCATGAACTTTATTCTGGAACCCTGGCTATTGGAACAACTTCTGTAGGAAGCATGGCTTGGTCACCAGGACAGAGATAAAAGAGTTATGGAATGACACTCAGGTTCTTACCATTTCTGCCGAGAAGTGACACATACCCCGCATTTCAGCTCCTCCCACATTTAAATGACTAAACCAAGTCATAGGATGACTCCTGAATCCAGCATGGCAGTCATGTATAATTTTTTTTTAGATTTATTTATTTATGCATACAAGAGCTGGGGTACAGGCAGAGGCGTGGGGGGTAAGAGGATTCACCAGAGACAGAACGGGGAACAAAACAGGCAAATGGACTGAAACACACTGCTGAGGGGAGCAGCAGGCGAGACAGGAGAGGTCTGTTTCGCCATGTGGGGCACTCTCTGGCTGGTTGGGGATCCAACTCGTGCTGCAGAGGCTGCGGATTGCTTCAGAGTGCGGTGCTTACCCCTTGCGCTACCAGGGAGGCCCAGGCATGTATAATTCTTGCATAGGCCAGAAAAAAGGAAATTTGGTGAACTTTGCTATAGTCTACTGCATGTATTTACACCAGATCTACTATGATTGGCAGCTGACCTGGTTCTAAGGGGTGGGCAAGTGGATCCTAAAATGAAGTGACTAGGAAGTATGTATAGACAGACAGACAGACAGACAGACAGACATAGATTTGATGACTCCGAGTGAAGCAGGAGGAAAGGGGTGATAGTTCTGGGTCTCTGAGGGCTAGGAGGAGCCCACTCTGACCCAGTATTCCTGTGGTTGGCTCACTATGGACGAACCTGAAGGAATCTTCAGTGGAGGGGCTCGGAGCTTTGGTGTGGTTTTCTTGGCTGAGGATAGCCCTCTGCTGTGGCTTCCAGGAGGCACTTTGCCTATCTGGACTACAC